GGGGAGTTGGTGCCGTTGCGTACACATATGTAGAGGGGGTTCAAGTCACTGTGTACCGTACGCAAACCGAAAATTTGCATTCTGTGAATCACCATCATATCAGTACACTTTCTCATACAAATAACTACCAGAATCAGCTTTTGTGTGTCAAAATAAAAACACTGTATTCTCCTCTTTCCACCCCACCATTTATCCTTCCATGCCAACGCCCATTATTAGTAAACCGCATCTTTCGGAAATGTGGAACGTGTATACGTACAGAGTGGGGGGGTGGTTGGAGTCACTGCGTACACCACGTGTACGGGGAGGGGGGTCTAAAAAGTCAGCATTCCCTGCGTGCGTACTTTATGGACGGCCCCTAATTGGTCCTGTCTGCCTTCTGCACCCCCTTTAGGAGGGCACTTGTGCACAGAGCCATAGGAACCTCCTCCCCCAAGGGATGAGAGCTTTGTTCTCAAGTTATATTGTAAGGTCAAGGATGTGCCACTCTAGCCTCGTCTCTGTTGGCGTTAGTGTCAATCTAACCTTACTCTGGATGCTTTGTGCAATAGGGAAACGAAAATGAACGACCTACAACATCGCTCTGGCATCCACACTGAGACTGCAATATACCGGTAATTATATCACCTGCGATGTGCATATCTTTATAGTACATGTATCTCTCTCTGCATGCCTGTTTCAACTAAGACGTGCTTACATGTAACGGTACACGTACACTGTAATGACTATGCAGTACATGTATTCAAGTGCTTCTCAAATTTCACACCAAAGAGGTTGTCTCAGTGCCGTCCTCTCTACAATACAATATCAAGTGGACTGTTACCTACATGACTACATGTATTAGCAACAGTCATGGTAAGCTTGAGTGAGTTGTGCATCCATGTCTGCAGACAGAGATATGAAGAGTATCTCATTTGTGTAATGCATGTACACTACTTAATTAATGTGCCAAAGGGCTCTGTATGAGGCCATGTATATTTGTCATATTCTTCTCTTTCTGGGTGTTTTCTATGGAAAGATTATCCGTCTGGAAGTCATTGTTTTGTGTTTCATGCAAGACTTCCGGAGAATGCTTCCAGGCTTTCTTATCTCATTTTGGAATGTTGCATTTTTTACCTTGGCACTTTCTGGAGTGTCTGGCAACTGTCACTGGCAACCCCTGGAAAGTTGTGACTCGACCTTATAAAAGCGAGCCCCGGGTGGACAGAGCCGCTGTTGAGTTTGAGGCCTTTGAAGGAATCTTGCACAATGTACATAAAATTAACACACTTTTGTAATCACCAGGTGGCAATCATCCTTTTCCTAAATTTTCAACGTCCAACTTTTTATACTCTGTGGTTTAGCACTCCTCGTGTGACAGCTACATGTGCATGTATCTAGTGTAGTGGTCGTTACATTCGGAGTGCATTGTTTCAGGGCCCCGAGTCCTGTGGTTAAATGAGTGCGAGCGACTCTCCCAAGTGCTGTCAAACTTGCCAGGATTTTTGTAATGCAGGACGTGTTGTTGACACCTTCAGCTTGTGCTGTAGAGAAAATGTTGCTTGTTTTGGGAGAGCAACTGTACATGTGCGTCAAGAAGTACATGTACTTGTATGTGTATTGAAATGCAACTCTTGACCAGTGGCATTTTCGTCTTCTTGTTGATTGATTAGTTAGAGGTCGAGGTCATGCCCGAGTCTTGTGTCTAGAGCGAGGTCAAAGTATTTGCAGGTTGCACATACGTTGGCACCTGCTGACATTAGACCTAGCCATGGCGCTGGAAGCTCAAATGGGACATGGCTCTACCGGTGTATGGTTGATGAAGACAGACTGTGTCCAATTTACTTGGGTACGGCCGAAAATGAAGTGTGTGTTTATTGAGGCCACTACTACAGCCATTCCCTGTTAAATATTAATGGGAGTCAAAATGGAGAACCGTACTCCAGCCACGACACCAGTCCTGCTAAAAGTTGACAGAATTCAGCTTGATGAGTACTGTTTAAAGGTTGATGCGTGTGCATGCATCGGTTCTCTGTGCCAGTGGTGAGCGCTTGTCCTTGGAAATAATCTGAACTCTCTAGTCATTGAATACGCTATCTGTTGTGGTCACCAGTCTTTTGTGTGATTTAGCAATGTCATTGCTTATAGGGACACAGGGATTTGGCAGGCTGCAAAGAGGAACGTGTAAACGTGTTGTGCTGTTTGACATTGGAAAGTGTATTAAATGAGTTGGTTTTATTGAAGTATAATTAAGTGTAACTGACAGTTACCCACGCCTGCATCTAAAGCCACAGTGTTTCAAGGAAGCAAAATTTTCAAATGCAGAAGTGGTTAAATGCACTCTTATTTTTGTATTTAATCCTTGATTTTCTTCATTGTTAATTTTTAGATGTAAGATGTATTAATTTTTTGTAAATGCAAACCAATCATGTTTTACATGTACCTTTAATGTTGTAAATGTTTCCAATAGACCAAACACCCTGGGAATAGTTTCTATCAAAATTTGTCCATACATGACCCTCAAAATGATAATGACCCGTCAATGAGCATCTGCCAAATTTGGCTCATTGGCAGATTGGAGGGAGCAGACTTTTTTAGGGGGTTTTGAAGTACAGTGATAGAAGGGCCATTTTGGGAGACCATTTCATTTCCTTTTTCGTAAACAAGTCTGACATTTGTTTTGGCTCTCCCAAAAAAGTTTGTCCCCCCCCCGAAACAATTTAGCTCTGGATTCACCCTCGCCTTGGTAAGGGTCAACCAACGACCGTCAACTGAAGGATAGACATGGTTCGTATCAGAACGACTGGCTTCAGCTTGGAATTACACATGACTCTATGGGAAGTGACTGCAGCCATAGCCGTAGACTTGTGCGTAATTACAAGCCGTAGCCAAGTACATGCAATTCCAATTTGGCCTTTGGCTTTTTTGGGGGGGGGTTAGCTCCTATTTCACTTGCAGTCTTGCATCAGGTGTCGGGCGTATAAGCTATGTTTTGACTTTGACAGTTCACTGTCAATTTATCCTGTTTTATTCCCCTTAAATTTCCGTCTGTTATCACCATGGTAAATGAGAGCGTCCTTGAAAAAGACTGAAATTCTGAATTTTAAAGGAGGCTTTAATATTGTCCAGGTTACCGGTGACGTGGTAAGCTACTTTGTCTGCACATGATTGGGTTATCAAGTTCCCCCCCCCCGCCTGAGATATGTTACCTGTTTTAGGACTTAAAATTACAAACATGGGATGACCACTTTTCTTGGGGTGAGGATTCTTTTACGGATCAGAAAATTGGACAGTTGTTTTTAGAGACAGTTTCATTATGCCTCAACACCCTCCTCCGGATCCCGAGACCTGGATAAGCCATTTCAAGTGTCTGGAATCGCCCTTCTCTCACATGTGATCTTGTAGCAGTTATTTTAATGCAGACATTGTAATGTTGTGTAAATGTTGACGTATAGAACTGGGAAATGCAAAGAAAAAAAATAGGATGCGCATTTGTTTTTCTCTGTAAATATCCGAGCTAATGTTTGATGTTTTTTCAAGATAATAATAATGTCGACTCATTTAGAGTCATAATTAATTTTGTCCAGAACAGGTGAATAACCCATTATTAACCCTTATTATGTTTATTGATGCACAACGTGAAACTTTATTTTCACACCCACTCATTGTAATTTCATGTATTTGCAATGTAAATACCTTTTAATATTTCCAAATAATTTGGATGATATTGGACATTCTCGTTATGTTTATGAAATATACAATTCACGTAATTTGGAAATATCTGCGTGTTGTGTTCTTTCCTTTTTTGCATTCAGAGCGACTACTAACTCTCCCCCACACTCAACCACGCCCACCACACACATCCCTTGCCTATATTATGTTACCCCCAATGTGAAGTACTTGGTTCCTTAGATGAAAGATCTATAATGTAACAAAAAATTGTCTCCATGTCCATGGCTGCGGTGTGATTCGAACTTCCCGGGACTACCGATTAATAAAGCGCATCTGCACGAGGTCAAAGTACGCGAGTTAACAAGCCTTGTCCTAACTGAGCCCTAAGCTTCTATGGAGAGTACAAGACTCCTACATGTATTTCAGGAGACATGGAACGAGGTGTAACTGTAGATGGCAGGTTACCCCTTACTGCTGTATGCGGCAGAGTCTATTTGAGGCAAAATGAGTACAACACGGAAAAACAAACTTTGGATTTGTCATTTATACACAACACAAAAGTCATTGCCACCAACAGCATGGCTGCTTCTCCACAATTTAACGAACACAGGCCGGAGCTCAAAGCTGTGCGATTTGGGTTTATGTTCATTCAGTTCACCAAATTTTGTGATCGTAGCTTTAAGCCGAATGGCGTGAAAACAACAAGGAACTAAAGCTGGAATAATTTTAAAAGGATGTCCGCGAGAGGTTTATCTTCAGTGATTTAAAAAATCGGTTCTTTGTTGTGTTTCCCGTTCACTTTAATAATGACAGTTATGAATCTACAAATATTAAAGTTCAGGATATAGACCTGCCATTTCTCTACCCTCCAACATGGTGGATCCAAAGGACCGGATAAGACATTGTGCGTCTTTCCTTCCTTGATCTAGATCTTGGGGAAATCACAAGAGTAAACTAATCTACATCAATATATTCATATCCACTCCTTAAAGCCTGTATTATCTTGAGTCCCAGTGAAGATCCAGAGTAGAATTGAAAAGGGTCCTGGTAAATTGGAGTTTTTTCGGCCATCTTTTTGGTTGATAAAGGGCATAAATTTCCATCTCTCGCCAATAGCTTGAACGATTAACGTTATTATTTCGCCCTAAACTGACGACAGAAACATATCGCTCAAAACATTGAGAAGATACCCGTAATGTTACCCGAGATTATCACTCGCAAACCGATGCCAATATTGTTGATGAATAAATCTTTCTCACTATGGGCACGACATGCTGGTCTGCACCAAATTGGCTCAGTGGAATTAGTCTGTTGCTGCCGTTTATACCGCCGTCCCAAATTAACCGAATAGAGCTGGCTATATATGAGCACTGTTGAGTAACCGTTTCCCCTCTCGAGGCCTGCATGGATACGACATAGTTCTTAGCCTTTTTATTATGATAACTTTTTCCTTAAAAAAGTGTGAAATGGATCAGTGACGTCAAATTGTGCCAGAAAATGAGCGTATGGAGATGTGCAAAGCTTGGGGGTGACTTGCTCTGGCGCAGAAATTTGAAAGGGGTTTGGGGCACCATATGACTTTATATCATAGAGCTATATATAATCTAACATAGCTTTATGCTCTATACAGAGGTCGATGTTCATGATATGGATGTACATGTATTCAGAATGGCACATTTTTGAGTTTTTAAAACTGTTTTCCCTTTTTTGAGTGATATGGAATGCATTTTAGTCGTTAAGAGTTTAAGAATTCTTTAAAATCCGCTTTAATTTTTGCTCACCGTAAAAGTGTAAGCGTGAATGATTCAATAGTCCACGCCCCTCAAAGGGGGGGGGTATATACCCCCATCCCCCTGGGATTTACGCCCATGAAATGGACGCATGGTGTCGATGCTACGCAGTTGAAATGCAGCTGTTCCAGACTAGAATCTTTTAATCACACCTCATAATTTTATACAATTCTTAATTTCTAATTTGCATTACAATTCTGGATGGTTACATTATATTCAAATTAGCTAATTTATATATTTTCAGTAACAATGAATCAGTAACCACCTTACACCTACCAGGCCTCGAACCCGCGCCAACGAATTGGCGGAGGGTGGCTGGTGGAAAGGCCCACGTAGTGGAATTGATCTACCGTGAAAAAATTGGGCCATTTGAATGATGAGCTCAATATGATTTTTTCTTTCGAAAACGGAGCTGGAATTTAGCATTCGATATGTCGACTTTACCATTCCGAAAAATTTAAGCCACAATATGTCAAAACTCTTAATGAAAAATGATTTTGAAATGCATTTTTCGCAAAGTACCTCGAGAACGGGATCCTGGTTGTATTGTAAATCGCCAAATCCATCCGGAAGCTAAGTGTACTTTTATTTCTTGATCCAAAATTAGCGTTTGGATTTTTCAGGCCCCAGAGTTGTTTCCAAAATGATAGGTGCGATCTTTCAGGAATGTTAACATTAACTTTCATGGTTCATTAATTGAATAAAGCTATTTCGCGCCATGGCGACTTCTCTTCACTAGAATAATAGAAGTTGAGTTTAATATTTAATGGAACTTGAGGTCAGATTTGAAATGAAACGAACACAGCCGTCGATTTCCTTTCGATTTCATTGCGATAGGTCCTTTCCAGTCTGAGGTTTATAGGCATGGGCAATTCCACGAAAAGATGGTTGGGGAGGATCCTTTGCCCTGAAATGATTTAGTCCTTGATCGAAATTTTGCAGTGGTCAACTTACAAGATCTGTAGAGTATAAAACAATTTGCTTGTCAGTATCGCGAACAGCCGTCATACGCTTCATCTCTGTAGATCATTAGTAATTTTGGAAAGAACATCGGTCAGATTTCCTTTAAGCGAAGTGCTCGTGACTTCCACGCCTTGGGCAAAGGGTGAAAAATTGTACTGTTTGATGACATCTAATGCGACCGCATGCTATGCTCAAGGGGTTTTTATCGGGTTACATCAGGATAGGAATAAGGCCAACTGCCTCTCTCTGCTGGTCCTGCGCCATTTGGCACGGAGACAACATGCGATGCGGACCCACTGGACTGACGGTCATGATGGCAAATTTTACTCGCCTTTACTTCCTGGTTGCGGCCGTCGTTCTATGCTGGCTTGCGAGTCGGTGTCTGCAAGGTAACGCTTTATTATTCTGAGAGCCAGAAACTGAAATATCCATTAGTTTTCAATTTCCACAACGGGCAGGGGAAATGGTGTTTCCAGAGGGAAAGCAGGAAGCAAGCCCCCCCCATACGTCTAGATCCCCCTCCTTTTTAGGAATTGAAAGCACCGGCATTTTAGAAACAAAACTTCTACCACCTCATCAGGGGGGAGGTAGAACTCTTTTACTGGTTAAAAAAATCTGGCAATACGCTTCCGTACTTTTGAGGTAGGAGCTCTGACAAAAATTGAGTGCAGGCGGGGTACATGGGATGGGAGCGGGGCGGACGTGAGCGGAGACGGTGTTTCACAAAGTCAGTGGCAGCCCTTGGAAAAGAGTGCAGAAGTCGCGCGACTGTAGTGTCAAACGCGCTTCCATAAAGGAGAAACTGAATTTACCACATCTGCATAAAATTGGATCACTACTCCTGTATATAATAGGGGTGTTCGGCTCATTGACACAAGGGCATTTAAAGCCACAATTTCGTCAGACTTTAAGTTGAATTTCTGGCGTACTTCTGACTGTTAGTACCTATTGGTGTAAAAGTTATTGGGTTTCCCTTGCGTTCATTAGCGTTTTCAAATTCCCAGAAACTTCCATTTGTTACACTGTTGCCAAGCCAGTTACACGTTTTTCGTGTTGTTTGTCACGGGAGTGTTCGTTTTTAAATGAATCGGACTGGTATTACATTGTACGCTTTAAATTGAAATTGAGATAAAATCCTATAATATTTTTTTAGAACTGGCTGCCCTTTCTCTGTTTGTGTTTTTTTTAAACATAGGTACTTTTCTTCTCAAATTCATTTGCTTTCAACAAAGCAGAGACAAAATAAAATTGAAACAGGAAGTTTTGTATATTTCTAGAAAAATGTTCCCTGTAAAGTTCCTGCTTTGACAACTGCAGTATTTTCATAACGATAATTTGCGTTTTGTGTAAAACTTCCCTTTGTTCGAAATGAATTTCTGTATTGCTAGAATCTCATTTAGTTCCGACGTTTCATCGACAACGCCAACATTAGAAGGCAGCAATAAACATTTAGCAACATCATACCTTTTATCGAACAATACCTCATTTTAGGTGAGTGGATAAGAAGTGAACATCGCTGCAAAGGATACCAGGCAACAAACGACTGTTTTAACAAATAAAAGGACACTTTTCTCAAACGTAATGGTGTGACACTGGATCTTTTTTTCCTGCGTTATTAATAAGTTATAAGTACAGCAGGAAAAATTTGTCAGTAAGCGACTCACAAGCTTCAAACTAAAGGGATCAGAATGAAAAATAGGGTTAATTTGAATTAGACGTAAGAGAGATGAGGGCGTGTGTGGGCTTGGTGTGGTCATTCTAGCCTTCGTCCACCCAAGTCGCGAAGTCGCTCGATTTCTGCGACTATAATACGTTGTAATTTATGATTTATTTTCCAGATGAAAAGCCACTCAGATTATAAGTATTTCAACAGGAATGTCAAGTGAACTGCCAATACAGGACGCATTAATTAAAGCCATTTAAATTTGTGAGAGTACCAGGATCTGCCAAAGGTTTTCCAGAGTCTTTTAGCTCATACATTTTTGCTCTCTGGGTTTTTTACCCTAAGCATGGAGAAGAAACAGTCGAAAAATCATCTATGTCTGCAATTCAGTTTTGATTTTTGTTTTCACAGTAAATTTTAGAAAGGATGTGTAACAGGAAAGCGGGCTAAACATAAAGAACACAGTCGATGCCAGAGACAGACGATACGACCATGCTGAATTATTTTAATAACACAAAAATGAATATCAGACTGTGAACTGAATTCAGCCAGAAAATAAAACAGCCGGGCGACAGGCTACATCCAACAAATACTAGGTCCGATTGAATAAAGTTGGGTGCGGTTTAGAATTTAGAATGCGTGAGTAGTGCGCATACAACAGACCTCGCTGTGAGCTGCGGTAGCCTTTTATCAAGGCGCCCGCGGCGAAATGGACAGTCGCTCAAGAGCGAAGAGCTGGAGGAGACTAGTTTAAGCACCAAACCAACGCACAAAGAAAGACTACACGACGAACCTCACGCACGCAGATCTTACGCTACTTTTTTTTGTTTTTTTGTTTTTTTTGTTCAGTTAACGTAATGTTTAGAGGCTTCTGTCGTCATACTCAGTGGGCGTCGGTACGGGGAGAACGTCCCCCCAGATTCCCGTGCCCCCGGGTTCCCCCCCCCCCCATTTGAAATCTGTGAATAATCTCACTTGAGTTGATATACGGTTTATTTTTCTTGTGGTGCCCCCGGGTGCTCAAGTTCAGCCCTATGCAATTGGCTACATTGGAGCATGCCTGCAGCGAGTCGCTGATTGTTTAACTGGCTGTGGCCCCAATTTTTTTTGGCCCGGAGGGGCCGAACATTATGCTATTCATGGTTCCATTTACCCTGTTCCGACTTGTGTTGCCGTTCAGTGAAAGCAAAATGAATACTCTTGGCTTCGACGGTCTTCTTTTTCTTTTGGGGTGGAAAGGGTCATGGTATCCAATCTCCAAAGCTCCTTTGCCCCTGGAGTCAATTATTCAGCCTATAATCTCTGATAAACTATCTGTGTTCAGGTATTTCAGCTATCGATGACTTCACCTGCATCACCAAGCCCCGCATTGATTTTGACAATGAAGACACCTACATCGCTGCGTATCTACATGGTGGGAGTGCAACGCTGTCCTTCGCTCGAACAACTTTCACACGTACCGGTGGTGATGACCCTGGACAACTAGACTTGCCCCGAGACAACCAACCGGAACCTGCCTCGTCTTTGGAGGGAGACGAGATCTCCATTCTTCGATTGCCAAGCAATGGTGGGAAGACTAGGATCGGATTTTTTGCTTGCAAGAAGGGTGACGACGTGAGCATTGGAACCGCCATCATGAGCAGAAATGGTAAATAGTGAAATAAAACTTGTCAGATTTTTGTAACACGTGAAGATGATATTCAATTTCGACTACAGGATAGCACTTTAGATAAACTTATACCAAATAGCCACTGATTACAATTGTAGGATGAATGGTCCTATGGATTTCGGAAATATTCGAGATTGAAAATAAGACTGTCAACGGAAATTGTATAATGGGGATAAGATTTTATTTGTTACAAAGGTGCCCGCTGCGATTCTTCCGATGTCATTGTCGTCGATACTTATACACCTCAACTTGCCTCAACTTAGATTTTTCAATTCCATAATTTTTTAATGAATATACAGAAACTGCAGCTCCTCCGGTAAATGAAACCACAGAACTTCACAAATCAGATGGTTCTTCCTGGGTTGTCTATCAAAAGAAACCTTTCTTGAAAAAGTGATCCGGTGAATTGGAAAATAATGATTTCCTTCCCCAAACCAGTAAGATTCTTTTGTTACTATTATAAACAGGCCCATTTCAAGGACAATATCGAGAAATCGATTCATGTGATTAAGTGAAATAAACTAATCCGTACAAAATGACAAGAACTGTTGCATTGAAATGTAGCGGGATCTTTCTGTTACGGGTAACCCCATGTATAAATATAAACAAAAAATAATCAAAATTAAAAACAAATGAGTTTAAGTAGAGTTCGAATTAAAGGGAGCTTAATTTGGTTAACCCACGCGATCAATGTAATGTTACGGAAACTTAAAATGTTGAAAAAATTATCTCCACTGACTGCAGGAAACTAATTACCGACGTCAAGATTTTTACAATACACTCTCAATGGTGAATACGCCTTCTTCCGGGCGGGCGCAAATCATTTCCAAAACCCTGATACGGATTTCCAGAGGGACAAGTGACTCTGATTACAATCAAAAAGGGCGTTAAATGAAAAGTCCCAATAATATAGTTGCATTCTGACAAAAACGTGCTATAAAAGGTCAAGAACCAATCCTGATGATGAAATTCACGTGAATAGAAAAAGGAAAAAAACAAACTTGTGCAAGAAATGATTGTGAAAATGTTGATTTATTTGGTTGAGCGTCCCAAGACGTAGAATAAAATTTCTACTTTATGTGGTAATGTAAGAGCAGCGATTGAATACTCGATAAGTGTAAAGGGTTTAGCGTGGCATGATTTCTTCACACTTGCACGCCGCTGTGACGTCCATCCAAATCAAACTGGCCTCCGCCGTTTACTTGCCTGACGGCCAGAAATCAGTCGGTTTGCATAGGTCAGGAATACGAGTCTGTTTTCCCACCGTTTTTTCTTTCTTTTTTGTATCTCGCAACCAGCAGTACAACGAGAGTGTTGGCATACATAAGTCAGGGCAAGTACCATAGAAAATCGGACGGTAAAATTTAGATATTTGTTCTGATAGGATTCACAAATCCTCCCTAATAATTGTTTACGAGCATACAAGTATATTTTACAGATATACAGATTATTTGCAAAAGCAGTGTTTTGTAATAGAGGCATTCAGTCTTGCAGCGACCGTGTTGCAGTGCGGCAATCCTTCATCCTTCAAAGGTGATGCTCTCTTATCCCGGGGCCAGAGAAGAAATGCTGCGCTGCCCAAAAACCTAACCTGCCAGTCGAGTCCAGGCTAATCAAAATTATATGTCTTGATATATGGACCATGGCTGGTGAAGGTAAAACAAAAAAAGGTACGGCCTGTATTGAAAAGAGAGACCGGGCACTACAAAAGTGGGTGGTAGATTTGCCTTCAGCCATACCAAAATCGAGTACAGGGAATGGCAGTGGAGTAGGAGACGGTTGTGGCGGGAAAACAACACATTTGTTACTTTAAACTTTCAAACGAGAAACCAGAGTTTGATTTTTAATTTTGATTACGGCAACCTCCAGAATCGCGCGCTCAAATCGTTCTTTACTTGCCTTTGAAAGCACTTTTAATCTTTATGCCCCCAAGCCTACTATCTGCCAACGTTTCCAAGTCATACCGTGAACAATGGCGATAGTGTGACTCTGACGGTAAATGCCACCAATACATCTTTCACTGCAACCCGGTGGAGGAAGAATGGAGAGGGCTCGCCTGGCTTGATAGACACCCCAGAAAAAGTTATAGACAGTGCCGACGAGTCCGACAGCGGGACGTATGAGATCCACCTCACTAAAGTGCGCAGTGCAGGACAACAGGCGCTCATACGGTTGTTCGTAAGAGGTAAACCCGTGTGATAAACCATTAAACAAAACAACCTTTTAATTTGTTTTTTTTTTTAATGCTAATTTTACCAGGCAAAGGTTAGATAAAAAAAAATCATTTCTCTTCAGGATTGACCGATTAATTGGAATGACTTATAGATTTTTAATATCGAGTGCTATTTACGACACACATTTCTGCCTCTCTGTATCTAGCCTCTTCTAAGGCGACACAACTACACGTGACGGCACGACGGTTCCCTTGCTTGCGTCGTGCTGTCACGTCGCACGGTTGCCTTCTTGCCATTACGTTTGTACACACGACGCGTCTCATCGTACGTGCCATCGTCCGTCGCGTCGTGCTTTCTTACGTCGTTTCTTGGTTGCATTAAAATTGTCTGCCTAAACGCCGCTCCTTCTGTCCCCCGTCTCAGCGTCGTGCGTCACGTCGTATGTCGTGTCGTGCGTCGCGTCGCGTGTTAAGCCTGGCTCCATATGGTCATAGGTAACGCAGGCGGTTCGCAAGACGTCAAGACGCAGACAGTCGCGGAAGAGACACTGTGCGACGTCATTTAAAAAAAAAAATCATATGGCGTCCGAAACGCTGACAAATTTCGCAAAAATAGGTGGCAATGTTGGCTCTTGAAGCCAAACTGCTGAGGCTTACTCCAATTTGATGATGTTTGTTAATATCATATCAAATTAAAGCTCATTTCCTCATCTTTAATTTCTTTTCATTTTCAATGGCTTAACAAATGACTTTTAAAGATATTTCTCTCCAGAAAAAAAAACCGCTCAAAACAGTCAGGAGGCCCATCGCCAATTTGGAAATTGAAGCCTACACCCCATTCCAAAATAGAGCAATTTGGAGGGCCCAGTTTGGTCCGATACTTTCAGAAATACAAGCTGACAGGTCTTCCCCTGCCTTTCACCTTTTTAAGAAAACGCCCAGTTGATGTGCTCTAATAGCAGATAGTTTCACGGCCTACAAATCGTGATTTAATCCGCGCAGGCAATTTTGGACCTATTTACTGGCCTCGTTGCAACCATGTTGCGCGACAGCTCACGACGCGTGGCGTCGTACTTCAGGCGACGTAATGCGCGACCCGACGCACGATATGACATGCGACGCAGTACGACGTTGTGATGCGGCGACAGGCCTCGGAAGGAGCGACTTTTATGCAGACAAAAAACAACAGGGATAGGGCGCAAGATAGCACGACGCGTCGTTTGTTTACAAACGGGCAATGGCAAGACGGTGACGGTGCGACTTGACGGCACGACGCAAGGGGGCCGTCATTCCGTCGCGTCGTGCAATTGCGTCGCCTTGGAAGAGGCGAAAGAGGGGCAGAAATGTGTGCCGTAAATAGTACACCATCAGATGTGATTGGTTGATTTTTAATTTGTTTTATTTGCCGTCTGTTAATTTTGTTTTTGGCATCAGAATGTGAGGAAAATAAATGGAGCACGCCCTCTTGTGACAAAGTTTGCAAAGTCTGTTTCAATGGCGGTGTTTGTGAAGTTGCCAGCGGCGTCTGCATTTGCCCGCCCGGATTCAGTGGTGATTTCTGTGAAATCTGTAAGTATTTTTCTTCCAGTGTCTGGATTTCAAGGAATTATGGTAAGATTTACTTTGTGGAAACTTGTGTATTATAGGCAAATCATTTCGCTGGTCCTACTGCGAACGATAGGTCAGGCCAACCTGCCCCGCCTAGGGGGGCCTACCGTAGGCCTAGCCCCACTAGTGTGGCACGGACTATCACTCCCGATCTATCCTTAAGGATAGATCGGGGCTACCGTAGGCCAGGCCAATAAGATAGGCCTAAATCGCCTTTTTGGGCACATGATCGGGCGATAGGGTCGAAGCACTTTCCATAGGCTTTTGGTCCTTAAACTGTCTAACATTAATGCACCCAGCTTAGGATCAAGTGAGAATCGGAAATTCCAAAGGGGCGGCGCGGACATCTTGGAGTTTCACAAAGTGGGAGGTAGCAAACAATGAATATAACTGCAAGGGATGCTCGTGTACATACTGATCAAAGAAATAATTGTGTAATCCGATCCTCTGACTGGCTGGTGCATGCATATGTTGCATTAGTTGTTGCATGGAGGTAGAATCACACTACCTCCATGGTTGTTGTTTTCATCCGTTAGGCCTACTATCCACCACTTTGCAAAAGTCCCAGATGTCCGTGCCACCCCATAACGATGATATGGTTTACTCACATTTTGGAAGTTTGTTTACTCACATTTACTCACAGCCTTGTCAAGTGCAGTGTTGCCATCTTGTTCAAATAGCGATTTGAACTGTATGTTAATTTCCTAGAGACAATGTCATGGTGCGCCGGTCTAGCGGACCATTCACAAAAAGCATGCCGTGTCGGCACATGCAAACTGATTACTGATTCCCGAGCGCTGTATTATCCAGCATACAGTTTCAATGTGATCACAGCTACTGGACGTACGGTGCTTAGGAATCCTATGTCATGCCTACATCTAGCCCAGTGGACATCATCTACATTACATTGCATTACAACTAACGTCCAGGTTATAAACATGATAAGGTTCTCCTGCAATGGCGAAATTTGTTAAACTTTTTTTTCTCACAGTTTTACCTGGTGGAGGCAGCTCAAATGTCATTGCAGCTCAAGTGCCTTGTATCCCGAATCCTTAAATACTGTGTCATACGCTTGCGGATGAGGTCTTTGGGAGGAAATTTCGCAACTCCACGCTTTCCGTTGTGATTCGTGAACGATCTACTTGCATCTTGTAGACCTAGGCTTAGCACGCATTTGCACATTTTGGGGGCGGTCACTTGCTACCCTATATGCATTTTACATTCACACTAAGCTATGAAACACTTGTTACAGAGCAAGCTTGAAAGGTGCATGCGCACGCATCAGGTTGAAATTGACAAATTTGACGGTAATGCATACCTGTGAGTTGCAAAGACAGTGCCTGTTTTCTGGTTCAGCTAAATTGTATTTACATCCTTTGCTTCATGAATGTTTGCTCCATTGACCTTGTGTGAGGCCTACTGGGTACTTACAAGTTACATGTACATACGTGTACATGTATCCATTGATATTGGCTTAGCAGAATGCAAGAAAAGGGCAAACTGCCACAAGAGTATTTTTCCTGCTCCATTCACGTATGGTAAATCTCCCCATGTCATGAGCCTATAGAAGATATATATTTCCAGCTAATTATTGACATGACAGGATATTGGCCCTACTGCTTGTACAGTAGGCCCTAATTTATTTATCGATTAATGTTAAATATTAGCAAATTAAAGCTTTCTCGAAAAAAGTTATTATGAAACTTATGGTTGGTGTTAGAAGTTGTATCAGTGGTCCTTTTTCTATTTTACAAGTGACAGTACTCAAAAGAGATACTTTTGACATGTAGTTAAACATGTCAAAATGCATCTTTGCCCTGAAAAAAAACTGACCATAAAATCTGAGCTGTTCATGAAAAACATACTGTTTTGTTTGTGATTTCATAAGACAGATTTTTATGATTTCTTTTTTTCACTGATCAGTGCTGGGCCCTGACCGCTTTGGCCAAGATGGTAGCTTTCGATGCAGCTCCTCCGAGTTGCTGGGCTCAACCTGCGAAGGAAAGTTATTCTGTTTGCCTGATCCCTACGGATGCTCTTGTGCTTCAGGGTACAGGGGTATTGATTGTAATCAGGGTAAGTGGAAAGTGCTTACCAATTAGCCAATTATACTGGTAATTGCCTGCCGTCTAACACAGTGTTCTCCAACCAGTAGAAGTTGCCTGATGACCCACAAAGTTTTTCATGTTTCTTACCATGTTCAAAAAGGACCCACCAAGCTTTACAGTCTGGCTGCCTAGTTTAAAATTATTGGCAGAGCATTACATTTTGGAATATCTCATCTTACATGTACATGTAGTGAGTCATCTTGGGGAAAGCAAACATGTATTAGTATACGTTGCTGTCCCCAAACACCTAAGATTAAACTTCAGTTTTTGTCTTAGAATAAAGCTGTCTCTAATGTGCCTAGATATGAACTACCCCACTTTCCACCTGCCTGTTTAAATATTTTTTATCAGTCGTCACTATATTATACTAGTCTGTAGTCTCCAGTATTTTTATCAATCCTTACTGAAATTAATAATAATAAATTTATATAGCGTAAATTGTGTGAAGAAAATATTCAAATGCGCTGTACATCAAAAATAAGAATTGATATACAATTAAAATGCAAAATTTATCATAAAATTATCAACCTTGAATTGCCACACATTTAATTTAGAACTTGCAGAACACTGCAACATATGTCTTGTGTCCTACACAAGTATTTTAACCCTTTTCCCATTACCCCAGTACCCATTTAGTTGCTCCGCTGGCCTGTGCTTTTCATGCTCCGACTTCACCACTCTCCTTTTTTTTTTTTCTGTGTTTTATTGATTGGTAAAAGCATTTAAACATTAGAAAGTAAAAACAATAATCACGAAAAAATATTAAGGAAGGTAATTGGGAAATGTAGCCTTCATAAAATTCAGAAAAATATTTTGAAAGTTCGACCGACACTTTGGAAAAAAGGATCAACCATGAAGAGATATACATAAATAAGGTGATTGCGACGGCAGTGCTGTCATGTCCTGAGTTGAAAGTGTTCTGTTTCTATTGCTTTTGACATGGCATCTTTGGACTTGTGAATTTATAGGCTGCCCAGATGGGTCTTTTGGAGCCAGCTGTCTGCAGACCTGCCACTGCATGGACGATGCCCCCTGCAATAAAACAACGGGTCGTTGTCCTGGAAACTGTGCCTCAGGTTTTAAAGGCATTAACTGTCAAGGTCAGTTGAATTGTTTTCTCTTCTCAGTATTTGCCTTTTGCTGAGCAATTAATTCTATTCAATTCATCGATGACTTACATGTAGCTGTGATTTTGTTTGTTTTTAGATGGTTGTCCAGAAGGTCATGGTGGTTTGGCCGACGATTGCTCAACTCTATGCACAGGTAACAGTGAGCGATTTCCCCTGTATCACATTGCATTTTGTATTGTGGTTGGGCAATTCTTTGATCCGTTTTTCAATATTACGTCACAGTTGATGGATACAATTTGCGATACAATTTGCAGTGGAGATTTCCAAATCAAAGAATATAAAAATGTAGTTGCCTAAACAATTACAAATTGTTATTATGATTAAGTCAAAAAAGGACAAAAATCTCACAACGTGATCGCTGTCCACCGCATGCACAAAACATACATGTTTACTTGTACATTGTAAATAGGTAGGCTGCACACGCAATGTGGAAAGTTTTCGCTATGAAAACTCACGTGCAGCATGCATGAGATTGGTTCCTGCTCTGGGTGGCTCCACTGACAAATACACAGTATCATATGGTCTGTAAACCAGACCCCACCACAGTGCAATTCTGTGGTGTAGAGTGAGCTAGGTCTTGATCTTTGCTCCATTGAAAGTATGCAGAGATGCTATTATATTAGACATAGCCGTAGCTCTGGAAGCCTGCTACAAACAGGCACAGGCTTACCGACTGGGGCCGATCACGTGCACATCGCTAGTAATAAGATGTAGCAGAATTGTATGGCTACTTGCATGAATTTTTCAACTCAAAATAAAGTCAATTCAAATGACCAAAGTGCCTACAATATGAGTACGACAAAGTTCACCAAATTTTGTCTTCCCCTGGCTGTACATATTTTTGTTCTTAGACCAGGTACAAAACATTTGGTGGTCCCCACCTGACCCACCACAATGCCCCGCCCACCTTTTTCTACTTTGTAATCATCAATTTTGTATTTGCTTTGCATAACTTGTTGATTGCCATACAAAGTCAATTTATTTGCTTTACAATTTAGAAAATTCATGATACATGTATGCACAAAATGATACGGTGTGGAACTTTTTTTAGTTGCTTCGTAACTTTTTTATTTGGGCTCCATTCCAAGTTCCGGCTGAAGTGACTGAGCTCCAAGACGTTACTCCTTTGAGCCTCTCAGCCAATCAAATCCACCTCTCCTGGAAGTTTGTTTCCAACCGATGTGCTGTCACGCGTTACCAAGTACAATATGAACTGACCAATCTGGAGCAGTGTCAGCCCATGGCGCCCAATCGCATAGATGTTGGAGGAGGTAGGTCATGCAGCCTTGTTCTCAAGAGTTAACTACGTTTTTTCTTCTTCACTTGGGATATAGAGGGGAAGATTTTAAAGTGTTCACTTTTACTGGAATAGAGCAGGTTTCTTAACCGCATTGGTCCACGAGACTGTACCCAGCAAGAAGTGAGACTGAGGGGTACCCCCCCAACATGTCCAATCCCTATACATATTCCAGACTATTGTTACTTTACACATCCCCCCAAGATGTCTGAAAGGAATTCCCCAGATTCCTGCGAGACAATGACCAACACAAAGCAGGGGGGTTCTCTTCGTCTCATACCTTGCTGCATATGTAGGAGACAGCGAGAGCCGTGGCTTTGTGTGAGGATTAGTGCATACCACACATACAGTCTATTCACCATGCAGCTGCTGGTTCAGTGGGGCCTGCTGCTGGACAAAGCCCTCCATTCAGGGCAAACTACAGCCCAGCAGTCAGGGTCAAAAGAATCCTGGCTTAAAGGGGTTAACAGTGAAAAGTGTGGCTGGAGAGGTTATTAATTAACACATCAGTTCACTAGATATTGTTTTAATTTGACTGGTACCTGTGAGTAATATCTAACTGACACGTAGAAAATGCTCTAACTCAAGTCTGTCTCATGTCTCAGCAGACAGGAAAGAAAACTTATGGCATTAACTCTGCTATAATGTGCTGTACAATGAAAAGTTGATCAAAACTTGTATGATGTTGGATTTAGCGGTCAACGCAGGTGGCAGAGAACACTTTTTAACTGCATTGTGCCAAGGCTGGTGTCCTTCCGTGGCATGGAATCCATGGTTAGACATGCTTGTATTAACAATGTTTCATCAGTGGCCAGTAAAATAGAACTGTAGCACTCAGCTGACTGCCCTCTGAGTTGGCAGACTCTTGGTCAACCCCAAAAGAACTGCAGGACGGGGAGATACTGTAGAATTTCTCTGCTAGCTTAGCAATGTAGGTTAATGCTGTCAAGCTTTCAGGAGTTTATCATCATAATGATTTTTTATCATTACCAGTTTTATAAAAATCAGAGAGATCTTTTTGCAAAATATTTATTATTTGAAGACAGGTCCACAGGTCTAAAGGGTGATACAAATTGAATCTTGGGCTTTTTAAGACAAGTTAATCTGATTGGTATCACAGACAGTTACTATGGCGACAGTTTGACAATTTCATCGGGAGTCCGGCCCTACTCGAGTTACACTGTGTACGTTCGTGCCTGGAATGAAGTTGGACCTGGGAGTGAGATGCCCCTTTATGTACGCACAGGAGAATCGGGTGAGCTGGGTCACTAAGACACTATTTTTATTATCATTAAGTGTTTCTGGCAAATAACATAAGGATTCCTCAAAAGTGTCCTAGATGGCCATTGTAGCTCACCAGCCTGAGGAAACCTGTTAAGAGGAGACAGTGAGGAGCAGTTGCAGTTTTAGAGGTGGGAGGAAAACTCCCAGAGGTATATTCTGGGTGAAACCCGTGGAATCAGGTGGGAACTGAAAATGGAATCCACACATAAACTGCAGACCGAACCGTGAATCCAACCCAACGACAGAGGTGAATTGTCAAGAAGAACCACGTCAACCTGCCTCCTAAAACTGAGTGGCCCAAAACTCAACCTTGTTTATTTTATCCGATGTTTGACAGAGTTGTTGCCTTTTTTTCTGTGTAATCTTAGTCTGGATTTAGTAGTATATGCTGTAAAAATCAATATTTTTTGAGGGCATCATGTTGGCATTTTAATTGCCAGTCTGAATTACTTGGCAGTACCTTGAAATCTGTGGCCACCGCCATATATTCATGTGTGTTTTTAAGCTTCAGCCCTGTCTTTCAGCTGTGGCCTTTTTCTGATGAGAAGGTTGTATTTTAGTTCAAAAGTGTTAATGGCTGGTTTTGGGAGGGACATGATACTGTACAACGATGTTTTGATCACATGCCCTTCTGTTGTCAATCCTAGTTCCAAGTGTGGCTCCTGTATATAATGGCAGCAGCATTTCAAGCGATTCAATCACATTCTACTGGGAACCCATCCCCTGTGGAAGCAGAGGTGGTGACATCACAGGCTATGACTATGAAGTTCAAGACAGCACAGGAACAAGAATTGGAGACCGTCAGTCTGTCCAAACAGAGATGGTTGAGGTCAGTGGACTGACACCATGCATGAGGTACACCTTCAGGGTACGGGCTCAGACCAATGGAGGCCCAGGGCCGTGGACAAACCCCATACAGGGTAAGAATTTTATATTGTTGTATCTGAAAATACACCAAATGCTTGGTAGAAAGATCATCCAGTGTTGCTAATTGCTGTCCTCACTTTGAAATGAGTTTGTGTTGTGCGTTTGTTGTTCAAAGTGTACAATGTCTTATTTTGAATGATGTTTTCAAAGAAGTTATGTTAATTTATTTATAAAGCATTTTGTTATTTAGCTAGAGGCAATGTATGCATTGTTGTAGTACTCTTTCTCCGTTCTTGTACTCAAGTAGTAAGTTTTTAGAGCACTCGTACCATACTTGTACTCAAGTAGTAAGTACTATTTTTAGAGCACTTGTACCATACTTGTACTCAAGTAGTAAATACCATTTTTAGAGCACTTGTACCATACTTGTACTCAAGTAGTGAGTACCATTTTTAGAGCACTTGTACCATACTTGTACTCAAGTAGTAAGTACTATTTTAAAGCACTTGTGTTATTCATATCATGATATTCTGTCAAGATGATAAGGTTGAGAATAAAATCTCATCATGTTTTGATCCCTAGACATTCTTCTTTTAGTTCCAGGACTTTTGGATCAGTTCTTGGTCGATCGCACCACTGAACCAACTGAGATCCGGGTTACTTGGCAAGAACCTTCCAATGTTGGTAACTGCCCTGTGCAATATACAGTGGAGTATTCCTTGATTAAGAGGTGAGACAGACGTAAATGAAAAGGTCTGAAAATTCCTTGTGTTTTGGCAAATCAAAGTTTTTGAAGGGTGTGTTGCAATACTTTCCTCAAAAACCTGCTGTCACACTATGCCTACAAAGTGCCTCAACAGGTTGGGGTCCTCTCCAGAACAAAACATAATTTCCATTTTAAAGTTGGAATCTAGGAAAGTGAGCTAATTTGGGGGTCATGTTTATTTGAAAGTGGCAAGTAATTGGTAAACATTGAGACTTTATGCTTTGAATTTGTTGCATCCTGCGCTTGTATTGAGAGTGCTGACACATTCCTCCATATATTGTGCACTCATTTGCAGAGGCCTTTGTGAGAGGATCGATTCTCCATCACGGCAAGTGTGGAGCGGTGATACTCGCCCCCCAGTGACCATTAGAGAGCTTCATCCACGTTCCCTGTACCATGTATATGTGAGGGCTTCTACCACTACTGGCCCAGGAATGGTGGCAGAGGGAGAAGCTGTAACGTCAGAAAGAAGTGGGTATAAGTGAAGGGTGGGGGAGGGCAGAGGAGGAGGGGAATCGGAGAAGAAGAGAAGGCAGTGTTTCAAATGTTTCAAATTGTGGCTGAACGCTTGTGTTCTCAGGACTCCAACCCATACAGCATATCAACAGGGTTTGTGCAAGAACTGTAGGATTTGATTCCATTCGTTATCCTTAAGAATGCTGCTCTGTTAAAAGTCTACCCATCCACCAAAGTGTCTCAGGAAGATCTTATGGTACACTTTGACTTGTCGCTTTCTGAAAATGATGTGTTGAGAATGCATTTTGTGGAAGTTCAAATATTTTTATAGTACACATGATCATTGCAAAATGTTTTCGGCATTAAGTGCAGTTGTATTTGCAAGAGATTCATATTTGCTTGCCGGTCATTATCACTACCAAGTTTCTGACATTTTGTAATAATCTAATAATTTTAACAAATGTATTTTTCCCTATGAAATCCCTAGCTTCAAGTGTGGCTCCTGTAATAACTGGGCACAACAGTTCTAGCGATTCGATCACATTCTACTGGGAACCAATCCCCTGTGAAAACAGGAGTGGTAACATCACAGGCTACGACTATGAAGTGCAAGACAGCAGAGGAGCAATGATTAGAGATAGGCAGTCTGTCCAAACAGAGATGGTTGTGGTCAGTGAACTGACACCATGCATGAGGTACACCTTCAGGGTACGGGCTGTGAACAGTGTGGGCCTACTAGGAACATGGACAGAGGGCATGGAGGTGGAAACAAGTGCACGTGGTAAGAACTTTTTCTGCGAAAAGGCACTGTCATGAGTAAAGCTTTAACATGAGATCATAACGTGCATTGAGTAGTTTCTTTTTTTTTTAAAGAGCTGTAGTTTGAATTTGCTCTTCTTGTAAGTTTTTGCTGTTCTCTAATGTGCTGAGGATAAGTGCTATGCTGTCATCTGTAACGTTTTTAATTTGGGGTTGGGTTATGAACGATTTTCTTCATCCCAGTCTTGTTCTGATCTTCCAACATTCTTCAATCTAGTTCCAGAAATGGTCAATCAGCTATCAGTGACTGGTATCCCTGATGATCCGACTGAGATCCGAATTACTTGGCAGAAACCTACCAACACCGGTGACTGCAGTGTCCAGTACACAGTGGAATATGCCCTGATAAACAGGTGAGACAGACTTAAATAACTGAAGTCTGAAAATGTCTTGTGTGTCGGCAATGTAGAGTCGTTAATACTTTGGTCAAAATTTGAATAGCCCGTCAACGGTCAGGTGGAGAACTAATTGGTACAAATACAGCCCGCTGCCATACATTACTGCCAAGTATTTTTCTGTTTTGTTGGCATTGGTTTCCCCTACCCCTCCCTGTAACTTCCCCCTTTCTTCCGTCCCCCCTCCCCTTCTCATGTCCCCAACACCCTCTCCCCTTCCTTTGATTCAGTGTGAGTGTAATATTTGTGTTGTATTGTTGGCTTTGTTTTTTGTGTCTGCCCTACAATAAAATATTTATATATATTTATTTTTTTATTTGTGTGTTTTTATGTACATGTATTTTGTTTTCATATGGGTTTTACAATAACTTCTAGTGTCATTTTCATATATTTTTTATTTTTACTAAATCTACTATTTGTTTTTTGAACTTTGAATTGTAATGTTGCTGTGGCAGCAATTCAGCCTTTTTGGCTGCAAGTGGCCACCCAATGTGAAATAAATAAACCAATGATAATAATAATAATAAAAATCCTGTGGACACGCCATGCATAACAATTACTTGTTATTTCGGATGATTTACAGGTTGCGGTTCCTCTCTAAAACATCCTTTCCATTTTAAGGTGTCTCATGGCAGAAACCCGGCAACATCGGTGACTACCCTGTACAATAGACAGTAACATCTGTAGCTGCTTTATACTTGACACAAGTGCACGTTTGAAGTGAATTTAACATCAACAATCATTCATTGCAACAATTGACAGGATTTGAAATTTTTGTCCCAAGCTCCCAGACAAGCACTGAGTACGTGAAAACAGTCTTAAGAATATACACTGGAGTCAGGGCAAGACCCTCTGTATGAAAATTAGGATTTGGGTGTTTGAGAGTGGCATTTACATGTAAGTTTGCACTAAATAAGACTTAGTCCTGTCAAGAAACAGATTGTTCCTGTTTGTGACAATATCAGTTTAATGTAGGAAATTTACAGATCAGCACTAGTCCATGAGAATGCAGAGACATTCTACACAGCATCAAAACCTGTTTTGTACATACTGCATGGACAACTTCTCTTGGACAATGTATAATAATTGCACAGTGTGTGCAAATACTGCCCTTTGTCTCTGGTTGAGTGTTTTACCTCTATTACCTGCCAATTCCTACACAGGGACCAGTGTGAGGAAACCCAGTCTCCATCACGGACATCATGGCAAGCTGGTACTCAATCCCCAGTGACCATCACAGGGCTCTTTCCATATTCCACCTACCGTGTTTATGTGACAGCCTCTACAGTTGCTGGTGTAGGAATGGAAGCAGAGGCAGAAGGTGTAACACAGGTCACAGGTGGGTGCAAATGACAGGTGAAGGGAGAAGACTCGCAGTAGGGGAAGGGATGATCAGGGGGATGAGATAATTTGAGAAAAAAAAGTTCTTGGCTCCAGGGCTTTTCATGAAATTCTGCCTTCAGCATCTGTTCGTGTAATTTTGTTCCCAGTACATTTGAATAACATTCTCAAAGAAGTGCCAAATGTGATTGCAGTTTCTGCTTTGGGAAACATTATTTGTACTTCTTAAGCATGTACAGCATCCATGTATCAGTCTATGAGCTTGGCTTGGATGAACTATGATACAGATCTTTGGGTGTTGAATTTATTTATGATTAAACTAAAATGGCTGCACTCACACCTTGGTATGCTTTTCAATTGAAACTTTTTGTCACACAATTGTCAATTTTCTCAAGAAAATAAATCTGAGTTTTCAAAATTGCCAAACTACCGATGCTCCGGCAAATGTTTTAATGTTGTGATGGTGTTTTGATGAAAACTTTAATTTGTGAAATTCCTAGCTACCATCGTGGCTCCAGTCATAAATGGCAGTAGTATCTCCAGTGATTCAATCACATTCTACTGGGAACCTATCCCCTGTGGAAGCAGAGGTAGTGACCTCACAGGCTATGACTATGAAGTGCGAGACAGCAGAGGAGCAACGATTAGAGATAGGCAGTCTGTCCAAACAGAGATGGCTGTGGTCAGTGGACTGACACCATGCATGAGGTACACCTTCAGGGTACGGGCTGTGAACAGTGTGGGCCTACTAGGAACATGGACAGAGGGCATGGAGGTGGAAACAAGTGCACGTGGTAAGACCCGTTGCCCAGGAAAGACAGTTTGTGGCAATGTTCACATATGAGTGGATAGTACGGCAAGAATTGTGGCAGTCTTGTTATGGGGGGACGTGGAACTATACCGCATGTGGTGTTTGTGGTTTCATTCACAAACTTTCGTCCACGTTTATTGCCCCTTTAGAGTCCCTCTGGTGTAGTGGGGAAATTTTGACCCTGAAATACAGATTCATTGGCTGTACTCTACTTGCCTCATAAGTGTGCAATCACAACAAAGACTCACTTGCTGTGAAGGATAGAATGCATATAAGGCAGAAAGAACAAGGTTTTGTCAGAATCAACTCGTTTGTGAATTTAGTTGAATTAACAAAGTACGTTCAACGAGGAAGCTTCCCCCTAGCGTGTGTTTGGAGGGTGGGGATGATGGAAGGAGTCAAATCTCCTCAATCCCATTGCTTTGCCAAAGGTGTTTGCTATTCAGACCTTTATCTTCATTCTCGGATGAAACAAATGTGCATCTGATCTCCTTGTGCCCATTTTAGGTGGTGTTGCACAAGATGCTGGCAGAATTGATGATTTTACTTGCATCACCAAGCCCCGCATTGATTTTGACAATGAAGACACCTACATCGCTGCGTATCTACATGGTGGGAGTGCAGCGCTGTCCTTCGCTCGAACAACATTCACACGTACTGGAACTAGTGGTGAACAGAAGCCATCCCCTTTAAAGTTACCTCCAAACCATGATATTTTAATGCTCCAGTCATCAGAAGAGGGATTCTCTATTCTTCAATTGCCTGCAGTGACTAACAGGAAGAAAAGGATCGGATTTTTTGCTTGTAGGAAGAACGGGGGCAACGTCATGAGTATTGGAACTGCCATCATGAGCAGAAATGGTACGTGGTGATTTAAAGGAAAGCATTAAGCCACTCTTTGCATTGATGGCAGAAGAAGGTTCTGAATTTTAACAATCGAACAAGATCCAAATTTAGGAAAGATATCTGCAAATGAATTCATTGGACTTTATTAAAAAAGTCTGTATGTACATAGGTTAAAGATTTTTCATTTTTCATGCATTTACTTTGATGACCCCAGTGGGTTGTGTATTTTGGTGGTCAAGTGAGGAACAATTCTATTGGATCATTTCTAATCATACACAATAGAGACCAGTCCAACTGGGTACTCCAGTCATGCTGATATAGCTCTGGGCTATCCTGTGTTGAAACTTTGGAGTGTATTGTTCCTGAGTCTTAGGGTGCCCTTTTTATATTCTTTTTCCAATTGACGGAGGGTCGGCCCGTTGAAAAAAACTAAGATTCCTACGAAAGAAATCCATGCTGATAAATAAACCAGGCAAATGCACGATGTATACTTGTCACTTTTTTATAGTGAGTACCATGAGTGTCTTTGCTTCTGGCTGAGTACAGAGAAATATTTTTATCGGTACACACTATAAAAACCCCGTAAGGGTCAGCGTCAACACACCGTACGGTGTTCGTGTATGCAGTATGTATGAATGGATGCGTGTATGTTTTGTTTTTCCTATGGGTCTCCGTACATGTTTGTATGTTTGGTGCAGTACAGTACCGCTCAGTGTGGTATTGATGCCGTATTGTGGATTGATGTTTGGGTGAAATCGCATTGGACATTCAGCACTGTTTTTGTACAGGTCATCACAGCCTACTTTTTTTCACAGGGTCGGTAGAATAAAAGGCTCTTTTTCTCTGGTCGAAAGCCAAAAATAGGGGTGGCCGGAAATGAGAATAATAGAATTTAAAAAGGGTGCTCTTATATGTAAGTTTGAGTGTTGAGCCAAAAAGTTGCTGTAAAGATTATTGAAAGTCTCACTGTACAACTTTTTCATGCATTAGGATAACTGGAAATCACATAGGGTTTTGAAGTATTAGAAATGGATTTTATACTGTTATTTATAAGATGAAATGCTTAGGCCAAGTAAAAAGTAATAATTTGATCATCTGAGTTTCCAGAATCAGGAGGATGAGGGCCCTTTTTAAAAACTTTTCCAAGATGTATTTAAATTTAAAAAAGCAAAGTTTTCAGTTCAGAATGAGTGCCCGCTTTTTATTCAGCTATCCCAATATTACTTCAGTTGTTTGCAGGTTTTAATGCCCCTAAGGCCTTTCCAGCCACACCAGATGCTGCTCCATCATTCAGAGCACAACACCATAGTCTTCAGAGAATGAAGGATGCCTATGTTAATGCCCCAAAGGTTTAGGGGTAGACTTACATTAAATTTATGCACATGACTCTGCGCTCATAAGAGACTTTAAAAAAAAACACTGGCACAGATTGCACAGTGCAAGTGGCAGCAAACGACCATCCTTGCTAGCTTGAATGAAAATTGATTATTGTAGTTGAGCCAAGAAAAAGAGTAAAATACCTGGAAAATTTAGCTACTTCGGTGAGAAAGATTTTTTAAAAAGGGATGCGCTTTTCAAAAAGGAACAGTCCGTGGGAACTGTCAACCACTTTCTCTAATTGCTCTCCTGCAATGCCTAATATTTCTGGTTCATGTAAGTGTATAGTTGAACCTATCCCGGTGTGGAAGGGGGCAAGGTAAAATGTCGTGGTTTGTAATATTGAGGGTTTTTTTCTGTTTTTTTCTTGCCACCCAATCACATGCCTGTTTACCCGACACTGGAAGTTTGTTTTTGGTGCATTACTTATTTTCCTAACAATGAATAAGAAAGATACATTTTTCAATTCCTTTTTTTAAAGGAAGTATAATTTTACACAGGTCATCCCATGTATCGCCTACACAGGCTAAAAAGTTTATTTTTTCTCTTGTCTTTAACAATACTTTTATTTCCACTAGCTGATTTTCTGCCAACGTTTCCAAGTTGGACGGTAAACCGCGGCAATAATGTGACTCTGATGGTCAATGCATCCAGTTCATCTCGTACTCAAACTCGATGGAGGAGGAATGCAAAGGACCCGATTAAAGACTGGAGTGACCAACTGTACATGAAGATGACCAGTGTCAGTCAGTCAGAGAGCACCACCTATGAGGTCCATTTTACGGGGAAGCGTGCCAGTGGAAAACAGGCATTAATGCGATTGATAGTCAGAGGTAAAAATGCACTATCTGAAGGAGCTTTTCATAAAAAGGTGTGACAGAGAGAAGAAAAAAAAATCGGGATACTGCATGTAAATTAAATTTAATGCTCTCACATTACTTTTTTGTAATAAAGCTCTTGATGCTAATGAATAAAAAATGCTAAAAAAAAGTAATCAAATTACAAAAAAGTTTAGTTTTAGTTGTCTTCTGACTTTCACAGGATGTGAACAAGATAAATGGAATGCACCCTGCTGTGACAAAACTTGCCCAGTCTGTTTCAATGGTGGCGTCTGTGAGACTAGGATTGGTGTCTGTGTTTGCCCACCTGGCTTTAGTGGGAATTTCTGTGAAATACGTGAGTACCTGTATGTGTCTGATGAAAAAAAAATCTGACAGTGTAGGTTTAAAGGGAGCTTCTCGCTCATGAATATGTATGATCTTTCGTTTGTGAGACTTTGTTTGAAACATAACAAGGTTATATATCTGCCTTCAGGAGAAGTACCCCCTCATCAGTAACGAGGAGTGTTCATTTTGCTGGTAGACCCGTAACCATGATGTGCGCAATTCATAATTGTTTGTGAACCAGTGTAGTGCAGTTCCCACCAAAGGAGCCGCTAGGCAAATTGTGCCCTCTCTTGGTCCAGCTTGGGGCTCATAGAGGCTGAATGTGTAGACGTTGGCTCTAGACTGGACTGTCTCTATCATGAGTCCCAGTACCACTTGAGAAAATGTTCTGACTCTAGATTCAAGATTCAAACATTGATTATCACGATAAAAATTTAACATGAAAATTGTTTTCCCAGTGTACATGTACATTACAGCTGAATAAATAATAAAAATTACAAATTGCAAGACTCAATTTTACATTATATAAAATTACAATTACAATGGAGATAAGGAAGGGGAGCTCGTGTTCTTATTTTAACTGGTATTCCACCTTCCTTGCCCCGTCTACTTGTCTTCAATCACAAGTCTTCTGGAATGTCAGAATTGGGTGGGGCAGTGTCTGCTGGAGACCCACAAAAGGTTTAACAGCTCACCGCGTTCATACACAATACATGCATGCTGTATAGGCCACTCACATGCAAATGTTGATAGCTCAATTTGCCAGGCAGAAGTCTTCACAAATTGCACAAAATACATATGAATGCAGCAAATATCTAAGCACACATTATCCTATTGGCCATCATACAGTTGAACAATCAGTCCAAAAGTTAGAAGGGGCAAAACACAAATAAAAAATGTCACAAACACTACATTAATTTTAAGAGCTCCATACACTGGGTGGTCACCACAGTGCAGTGCCCTCAACGATCTGTGGAGAATTTGGCCTTTTTTCAACTTTGACATGTGGACACACACATGCACTCCTTTTAAAAACACTTTTGATTACAAAATTTCATGAAATATCTATGAAACGCACCTGGACAGTAAATCCCTGATTGCGTGAGTCCATGTTTTGGATCATTTGAAAAGTCGAGAACATTAAATTTGGCATTCTGAAGGACTGTTCCCATGGGAACATTCCCACACAGTGGAAACCATCCACTAAAGACATAAATTGTTTCGGGCAGCATTCCAATGGGAGTGCCGTGTTCCCAGTGGAACGGCTGCCAGTTCTTGAGTGAGAACAAGGTGTTCAAAGTGGGACATTCCAACTGTTTTGCATAATGAGATGCTCCCTTATTGCAATTTTTAAGTATAGGGTCTGCTCTTTCTTTGGGAAGTTAATTTTTTGCCTTCAAGCCACCTGATAATAAGAAAAATTTTCTGTTGATTGTTCAATAATTTTTTCACTGTTCAGTACTTGGCCCTGACCGCTTTGGCCAAGATGGCAGCTTCCAGTGCAGCTCTGACAAGTTGCCGGGCAAAACCTGTGAAGGAAAGTTATTCTGTCTGCCCGATCCCTATGGATGCTCTTGTGCTTCAGGGTACAAGGGTATTGATTGCGATGAGGGTAAGTAGACTGTTTGCAGTTTGAAGCATCAAATGCTTCAAAATTAAATTTGTACGTGTGCCTTTGGTCTTGAGTGCTCAAAACTTTGAAAACTATCTTTGTGCCCTCCAACAGAGTCAAAGGTATGGGCGTATTGTTCCTGCCTTGTCCCTCTGTGTATGTGATGTGTTTGTGTGGGTAGCCTCCCTGGAGTTAAGGGGTACTTTTTATTGCTAGGAATCTGGACCAAGTTGTGGGGACAAACATTTGTCCCCATAGCATTTTTGGTCCCCACAAAACAGGTGAAAAGAGGAATATATACTTCCCACAACTAAAGTGCACATATGGTTGTGTCGGTGTGTGCATTTCCAGAATATTCTTGGCAGCACAATAACTTAAGAAATAGTTTATGTATGAATTTCAAATGTGGTTTGTGAATTACGCTCCTTATTTCTGACAGACCTATCGCATTTGAGTCCTCAAGGTCAAGGCCACACTGGGCTTCAACAACTGAAACCATGCTGTGTTCACAAATTAAAATCTGGGTTTTGCTTGGTGGAGCATTTGTGTTTATTAACATCTCATTCTTGTTAAAAAACTGCGATAATCTGCAGTCCTAAATTTATTTGGTAATCTGAACTTTAATAGGGCATTTACCATCCAGTGGCCATGCTCTGTGACTATACACTCACTCCTAATAATGAGTTTAATATCCGGCTGTGAGCTTTGTATATGAAGAGAACTCCAAAGTAACACTGCTGTCCCCCAAGAAGCCATGTCCTGTCCCTTCTTGTCCTGTGTACTGTCCTGTCTAAAGCTTTAACTGTGCCATTCACAGTCTGTTGCATTTACTCCTTGGACTTGCATTTGTTAGGCTGCCCAGATGGGTCTTTTGGAGCCAGCTGTCTGCAGACCTGCCACTGCATGGACAATGCCCCCTGCAACAAAACAACTGGTCGTTGTCCTGGAAACTGTGCCTCAGGTTTCAAAGGCATCAACTGTCAAGGTCAGACTTTTCCCCTAAATCGACAAGTATTTGCTGTTTCCGTAATAATAAATACACTGCAATTTTGTTGATGACTAAATGATAATTATTACTCTTTATCTGTTTCCAGATCTTTGCCCAGAAGGCTATGGTGGTCTGGCCGGAAATTGCTCAACGCGGTGCACAGGTAACCCTCAAAAAATGTAAAATTACAAACCGATGTAAGCTATTATCGCTATGATAGTTATTACCAAGCCCACTGTCGTTACTGAATAATTTAACTCCTAAGTTTTGTGCAACTTAACATAACGCTGTCATTGGCTGCCTTAAACACCACATGCAGACTTATTTGCAGTATAAAGGCTGTTACATCTATGTACTTCGTGCAAAAGCGAACACAAATTTGTGACGTTAGATCAAATATTTGCGTTACGAATTTGTAAAAGTTGAACACATTTCAACTCAAGCGAAATTTTGCTGCAAAGTTGTCATGACATCAAGTTTGTTTCCCTTTCACAGTCATTTGCCTGTTGTGTGAACCTACTTGCACTAGATCACGTCAGCGTGAATGGCACCTTTTTGCCATACAGTACCTTCACGAGAGTAGCAAGGTTTTAGCAGCGGCTGTCAGTGCCAATAAATTGTAGCATATCAAGGACCTTGCCTTCTTCAGTCATCACCACTGTAAGGAGGACTAGGGCGCTGGGTTTATGTGCAAATTTAAGATTGGGAGTCTGTGGAAGGGTTCTGTTACCTGGCAGTGTGGATAAGCACTTTTAAAGTTCAGTATGTACACTTCCAGTTTTCATCTGAATGTGTAAAAACATCATGATCATAAAGTTTGGTCCAGTTGCTTAGTAACCCTCTGACTCATGTTCCATTTGAAGCTCCGGCTGAAGTGACTGAGTTCCAAGATGATACTCCCCTAAACCTCTCGGCCAATCAGATCCACCTATCTTGGAAGTTTGTTTCCAACCGATGTGCTGTTATGCGTTACCAAGTACAATATGAATTGACCAATCTGGAGCAGTGTCAGCCCATGGAGCCCAATCGCATAGATGTTGAAGGAGGTAGGTCACAACCTTGTTCTCAAGAGTTAAGCTGTAACACTTCACTGTCTTCAGGGTACAAAATTTTGTTTTATTTATTTATTTGGTTTTATTCTGCCAAAGCACCATTTTACCATTTCATGTATCAAAGTTCATTCCAGGTGGATTGGCAAGGTGGGGTTTCTTTCTTGCAGTGAAAAGTAAGGTCAGATCATTAGGCACTCTTTAAATGTGACTTGTAAGTGGTGTTAGTGACTCATGAATTTTGCATGGCTTGATAGTATGGCCTTTCCCAAAAGTTATGTCTTATTTTGAGTGGTAAATGCTGTGGTATGTATTGTCTCCTTCATGTCCAAGCTTTGTTAGAGGTGCAAGAAAAATCCGCTGTTAATTATTTTGAACCCCCCCCAAAATTTTGGAAAAGTCATGTAAAAATTTGTGCATTGAAAATGGTTAGGGTTAACTTTAAATGATCAGGTAGCTGGCTTTGCTGGGATTTGAACGTGAGTCATGGGTGGCAAGAAAGAAATAGCACTCGACCACTTGCTTTCTGATTTGGCTCTTACATCTCATCATGGGCTCAAGGTCGTGAAGCTCCTTAGCAGAAAAGTTGTGATTGCTGGATTGGTGTGATGAGCTTAACCCCAAGCCGGGAACCAGTTAAGAGCAATGTATGTGTATATTTCACGTGACATTTTGGTTGGTAACCAGCTTCTTGGTAAAACTTTTCTGTACTTATTACATTGCTATGCTTAAAGACACTGCATGAAATTTGAGGCTTGTGACCGTTACTCTGTTATATGTTGTTCCAGACAGTTACTATGGCGACAGTTTGATAATTTCATCGGATGTCTTGCCGTATTCAAGTTACACTGTTTATGTCAGTGCATGGAACGAGATGGAAAAGGGGCCAGAGACCAGCATTGATCTCTGCACTGGAGAATCAGGTGAATTTATCAATCACAAAAGTCAACTGTTTGATTGGACTGGTGGCAGTAGTAAAAAAGTGTGTCTTTTTGGCATTGCGTCGGTGTGTCCATTTCTTATGATAAAATTGTATTTTATTTCAACAGTGCTCCAATCCTTGCTGTAATTTTTCAGAATCTTACAGTGATTTGATTTGCATTTGCCCCTTTTTGGTTCCATTGTAATCTTAGTTCCAAGTCTGGCTCCTGTACTCACTGGCAGCAACATTTCTAGTGAGTCAATCACTTTCAACTGGGAACCCATTCCATGTGGAAGCAGGGGTGGTGACATCACAGGCTACATCTATGAAGTTCAAGACAGCACAGGAACAATGGTTGTAGATAGCCAGTCTGTTTCTGTAGAGATGGCTGTGGTTGTTGGACTGACTCCGTGCACAATATATTCCTTCAAGGTACAGGCTGAGACCAGCAAGGGCCCCGGACCATGGACAGAGGACATGGAGGTTGAAACAAGTGCAGTCGGTAAGAACCTATACTAAAAAAGGTGGTGTAAAATTGTCCTTGGTATGAATTTCATATTGAAACATTTTTGTGTTGATGTTTTGTCTGTTGACAAATACTTCATTTGCAGTTAAACTTTATTGTCAATTTTTCTAGTGATGGGAGTGTTTATAGGAATGTCTCACTTTTTTCTTTGTCCTGTTTCCCTGACATTCTTCATTTCAGTTCCAGAAATGGTGAATCAGCTAACGGTCTCTGGTACTCCTGTCCCTACTGAGATCCAAGTAGCCTGGCAGAAACCTACCAACACCGGTAACTGCACTGTCCAATACACAGTGGAGTATGCCCTGATAAACAGGTGAGACAAACTTCAGTGTGAAAGGCCTCATACAAGATCTCTTGTGCTTGAGGGTAACTACTGACCTTTTTTTTGCAAATACACCGGCAATACAAAAAGCTTGTTATATTTTTTCTGACTTTTAATGGTGGCCTGTGAAAAAGAAGAATGCTGAGTTTGTCATCAGAAGGGCAGGGCATAAAGAAGGAGTCATCTCAAATCGCATCCGCGACAAGTTAAGAACAAATTGCGGACGGGTGCTGCAGCTGAATGTTAAAGGCTCCTGAACTACTTTCCTTGCAATCTGCCCGGAATGAAGTGATCACTACTTGTTTATACGTTCCCCCCTTGCGGTTTTTATTTCCAACCATCTGATTCAGTCTTCAAACTGAACACACAGAAAGTCACAGTGTGTTGAGTGATCCAAGGTTAGTTTCTGGAAGCAATAAACCCTGACCATCGTGTAAATTAGCCCTCTGGTATGTGAACAGTTCTTCACAGTGGAACATTGACCTTCTAATGGAAATTCCTCCTCACCTTGTCCGGGAATAAAAATGCACATCTTCTTGCGGAGGAATTCCTGGTTAAGGAGTAACTCTAGTCCGCAACTAGTCTGCAACTTGTCCTGGGTAAGATTTGAGATGACTTCTAATGAGAAGATGTATTTGCACCGAGTTAACGTTTGGTCTAACCTGCTGTGGGCCATATGCACAGAGAAGCCACTGTATGCATACAGCTACGTGTGTACCGCATCTTGTGTAAAGACTTGTGCACGACCAAGTAAGAATTGGTCCCACTGAGGTGAGGCAAGGTATGTGCACGTAAAGCAAAGTGTTCTTGCAGTCATAATTATTTTGCTTTATCAAGAGATTTGTGCATATTCTGTTGAAAATTGGTCCCACACATCATAGTCGTCTCTTAGCTGTCATGAAGTAGGTTGCATGGCATCAATCATGCATCCCACACAGGTAGACTCATGCTGATTTATTCCTCCATCCACTGTGCACTCACAACCAGAGACCTGTGTGAGGGGTTCCCATCTCCATCACGAATACTGTGGCCCACTGGTACCCTGTCAGCGATGACCATCACAGGAGTCTACCCGAATTCCATCTACCGCGTGTTTGTGACAGCCTCTACTATCGCCGGACTAGGAACGAAATTGTGGGATGAAGCCGTAACCCAGGGCACAGGTGGGTGCAGATGATGAGGATGGGAAAGGTGGATTCATCAGCAGGCAGGGACCAGATAGATTAAAGTTGGAGTGAGGATCATTAACTTTTGTCAAATTTTGGAAGCTTTATGCCTCTGTCTACATAATTTTACTTCCAAGAATGTGTGAGAAAAATTTGCAGGAACTTCACTAATAACTTCTTAAAAAATTTCCAGGAAATATTATAAGTACATATATTGAGAAAGTTTCTTGACACTCACTTAAAAATAGTTTATGCAAAAATGGGATCCGACAGGCTTATTTGGTTTAAGAAGTGGTTTGCTGTAGAATGTTTTTGTGAACTAGGGTTGTGAAAGAAAGGTTAGGTGTTAAAGACAGGCAAAAAACAGGAAATTTGGTTGCCAGTGATATTAATTTGGCTTCGCATTAGGGATGTTAATTTTTGGACCAGCTTTTGCCCGTAAGTAGGAAGTCAGAAGTTTAAGTCCCACATGAGCAAGCACATGGTTTTTTAATGCAACTTTTAGACAGCTCTTAGAATACAACATGATCATATGTGTTGCGGTAAAGAGAAATCCTTGTGCAAAATTTGGTTTTGTTTCCAGCACCCAGTGGACCACCGAGCAATGTCAGCCTCAGTAACTTCACCCTCAACACCCTGTCCTTCGCATGGGACTTACCGCTGTGCGGCCAGCGCAACGGCAATATCACCCACTACCGCTATAACCTTACGGGCATTGCAAGTCGGCAAACGGAACAAGCAAACATTTCCCAAGCATCCATCGAGTTCATGGGCCTTGTTCCATTCACGCCATACGTGCTGACAGTGTTTGCCATCAATATCTTTGGTTCTGGACCCGTTGCTACCATCGCAGTCCAGACAGGGGGTAAGTTGGTTGCGATCACTGAACACAGAAAGTAGCCCACGTAGTTCATTTTTCATTGAAAGCTGTGAGCATCAAATACTTTTCTAGTCACAGGTGCCTTGTTTTAGCACTTGAAATGATTAAAACGGCAGTATAGGCTGATTAACTAAAAAGACAGTATGGTCAAGTTGTGAGTGTTTATTGTGACAGATACAAGAGAGGGTGCTAAACACTTTCATTTTGAACGGAGAATCAGAGAGTGAACTTTTCAGTGTTGTTTCTTTTATCCAGCTCCATCTGAGCCTGGGTCACTCTCTGTGTCAACTGTTTCTGAGACTAGCGTCACGCTAGAATGGAGACCTCCATTATTTCCCAATGGAAAGGTGTTTAAATATAAGGTAATAAGTCATCTAGAAATGTGGGCTTTGCAGTTGCTCACCACAGGTGGTCTTGAATAGAGACAATTTTGTGAGCTCAGTGGAATAAATACCATTAGATTAATGAAACGACTTGAAAATACCTCGGAGATTAAAATCACTTTGAAATTGTTAATGTTTTCTGTAGTTTTCAAAGACTTTTCTATACACTTTAAAATCTTAACATCAGTCGTGTTTATTTCAACTTAAATCTGTGGTAGGATTTTTGTTTTTTTAACTCCAAAGAAGTCTCAAAAGTTGTATTCTCTACTTCCAAGATCTGAGGGTCAAATTTGAAATGCAGCTGTATTGGTTTCGCCTGCATGGATTTTTTCTATATTTGTACAGTTTTCGTCCTTAACAGTGTATTAAAGTGAGCATATTATGTACTCAGTCAAGGTTTTCCTGAATTGAAATGCACAAAAATTGGTTGAGATGAGCCGTTGCCAGTCACAGCGATCATTCTTGATTATCTGCAGATTGATCAACGGGTTGTAGCCAGACCTTACAATGACAGTTTCACTTTTGACGCTGACTCCAAATATGAGAGCCAAGAGATACCCGATGAGTCGATGACCAGCAGTACGGTCTACAACCTGGAACCATCCACAGAATACGAGTTCCTGGTTTACATTGTCACCAGCACCAATGTTGTTGGAAAGAAAGCGAAGGTGGAATCCTTTACTGCACCAGCAACAGGTAGCATAGACCTTCCTGCTTGAAGCTTGATTCTTGAGGGCACTTTCCAGCAAACTGTACTGTAGAGTGATAGATCACATAGCTTGGTCAGAGGTCAAATCTTGGTTGCAGGCTTACTGAGGTCAGACCGAATTGTGTTTGGACCAATTTCCCACTGAATGTGTACAAAAACTATTTACACAGTTTATTTATTTAATTTAGTTCATCCACAGCACGTTTATCACCAATTACAGGATGAAGTGATAATTAAGTAGACAATGAAGAAATTTTCAGTTATCGAGGTGGGAGGAAAATCCAGGGTAAATATTACAGGGAAAACCTTGAGTCAGGTAGGGACTGAAAACGCAATCCACATGCTGACCTGGATGGGATTTGAAACCCGGGTCCCAGAGGTGGAAGGCGAGGAAAGAGCCACTACACCAACCTGACTTATGATTCCTGACGTAACAGTAACCGTATATGTTCACAGTGGAGCTCAGAAAAGATATTTGATTTTATATTTCAGTGAGCAAACCTGTACAAAATGTAAAGATGCGATGACATTTTTCCCGGCAATTTTTTTTTGCCAGTTTTCAGGAACGTCACCCCTTCTTATTTCAGACAATCCCTTTTTAATTGGCGTGCGATACACAAACATTCCCACATGCTCTCCTATTCCATACGCTGTATGTCTGTATAACCACACTCTTGTCTAAATTTACACCTCATGTCTTGCAGGCATGACACCCCCTGAGAAACCCACGCTGTCTGGCAAAGGCCAATCTAGCACTTCCTCCATCACCATCCAACTAGCCAGCACCACACCCTCGAAATATGTGACGTGAGTCTCCCGCACTTGGCCATTTCTGATCACAGCTAATCCTAGCAATGTAAACTTGTTGTTTAGAAGGATTTTCTGATGGAATCGAGGAACTTGCTGAAGCCTTAACTTTAATACGAATTGCAATGCTTCAGGAAACTAGAGTGGTTGACTTAACAGCATGTACTGTAGCAATAATTTCTGTAACTGTCACTAGTTACCATGGCGTTTTGAAAAAAGTCTTTATTGTGTTTCTATGTCCATTGGTTCGTTCACTTGCATATCTCACTGAGAAATTCTTGAAATCATCACCCTCTAAAGACTTAGTAGAGTTCCTGAAATGATTACCTTCTTTGAGTTATCTCAAGAAACTACTCACTTGCCCTTTTTTTCCCAGTTCTTATCAGGTTGGAGTGAAAAACACCAAGGCCGGCGTGGACACCAACAGAAGGTCCGCTGGGTCCGGTCTGGAATTTGGACATTTCACCGAGAGTCCCACGTCCTACGTTGCTGCTGAGTTGCCACGGAGACTTCCAGATGTATTTGTCGTCGGGGATGACCGAGAGTATGACGGCTATTTCAACCCAAGCTTGCAGGAGGGAGCATCTTATGAGATTTATTTTGGTGCTGTGAGCCGCATTAGTGACAAGGTAGAGTCTAGAGGAGCCTTTTTCTGCAAAGAAGCAGTTAAATCTTGAAGCTTACGCCAAAATAAATGGTCTCTCTGGTCCTGAGAAGAATGTTATAGCGTGCTGATTTTTTGAGAATAGTGCACCCACATTTCATAAAATAAATTACTAGACATTTTTAATTTCTTATTGGAAATTCATTTGCTGAGACAGTGTGGGGACAACTGCATGTAGCTATAGCTAGATGTCGTCTTTATAACATGATATCGTAGTTGACAATTTTGCTGATCATATTTATTCTAATTGTGGCTTCCCTAGTGCTTTGCGGCCGTGTGTAGTTATTCCTTTTCTAATAGTGTCTTGTGTGCTTGTGTACTTTGCAGGAATTCAGCGTGGTTTGGAATGAAGATCCCCTCGTGGTTCAAGGTACAACCTGGTGTTGCCTGTCGCCAAATTTCTTTCAAATTGAAATGAGAAAAATGACCAAATTAAACCCTGCTGAATACAACCCAAGAATCTGGTGGTCAGAGGTTGTTGCTCATTGCTGGAATTAGCAGTCAGAACTGAGTGGCAGATAAACTGTGCGCCGTTTCTAGGCCACTGCCTATCCCTTGCAGCTACTCATTCCACCACTTGATTTTGTTGCACTTTGTTGAATTTTCTGTTTCACTCTATCGCATGCAACATTATTCTTAATGCAGTTGTGTTGCATTCAATTGCATTCAGCAGATTGTGTGGAGATACGCTGATTTGGTTGGCATTTGAACTGGCAACCTCCAGAATCCACTGTTGCATTTTAGTGCTTTCTCTTGCACTCAACAGGGTTCTCGTTGATGATGTGTTGGATCCTGTTGCATTTTGCTGGCTTCCTTCTTCAACCTGACTTGTGTTAGGACTAAAAAGGAATTTAAACTTTTTAACCTTAAAATAAATGTACCAAAGGATCCCTTGTTTTGCAACACTTCACGTTTGCCACCGTTTGTCAATTTTGATAGATTTTCTTCATCTAAGCCCTAAAGAAATTGAATACATTGTACACGGCGAATTAGAGAAGTTACTGGTTAGCATCAGCACAACAGCAGAAACTGTACCGTGGTTGACCCTCTCTGACCTTTTTTTATATCTAGTGGCGGGTGGACTGTCTTCTTCACGTCAGGGTATTGGCCTCACTGTAGGTGTCGCTGTTGCAATGTCCATGCTTGCTGCTGTTGCTCTGGTTTTGGCTCTTGTTGTCATTTGGTAAGTGTCGTTTTGTCTGAATGCAGCTTGACAAATTTTCCATGTTGGAGCTACTGGTAAACTCAGCTGTGAACCAGTCAGTCGTCATATACTTTACAAATTGTTTTGGCTGGTTACCTGTTTGCATTAAAATATTAAAACGAAGATTTGCAGTAACCCTCCAGCAAAGTGCACATGTTGCCTGGGTGTGCTGGCCTAAACTGAGCTCTCTGCATGATACCAACATTTTCATTCACTGAGGAATCCATGCTGTCCTAAGATTTCAATGAGAAAATTGAAAATGCAAAACTCTCTGGTCATCAGGAAACGTCACCAGAGGTCAGTGGGGAAAGAAGATGGACCTTTCCGAGCTCCGTCAGAGCTCTCCCTTCATTCCATCCACGGTAAGCTTCAAGCTAATACACCATTTGCAGATCGACCAATCCAGCCGCCACAATCGCAAGCAGTTACACTGAGGTAGTGCCGCCCATCTGAATGCTACTTGCTTCTTAAAAGTTGAGGTTTTAAGTTTGAAGGGTTCTTTTGGGTTTGTGCACATTCCAATGAACGTTTGTCTGTGGGAAAACAGTCCTCTAATGTGTATGTTAGTGCTTAGTCCATTGGAAAAAGTTGTATTAAAGGAACAAAGGAAAATGGAATGCCTTGTCCCGTAGGAAAGGCACAGTGGTGTGTTTGACTAATGTGTGGCCTAATTATGCAACACCAGTGTTTACTTTAGTTATTCAGTGGTATTTTGTGTCACAGGTAAGGACCAAAACATCAGTCCTCTGTCTCCTGACAGCGACACTCCGCCAGCCAGACCCCAGGAGAAGCTGGGACCCACCGCCAACAAGAAGCCAGCCCACTCTCATCTGGAAGACCCTGTTGCTCTCAGCAACCTGGCCAACCACATCAAGAGCAAAAAGTCCAGGAACGGATTCCAGCAAGAGTACGAGGTCAGTCCAAGAAAGCGCGGTGGACACTGGTATATTGAGGGTCTTCAGAGTGTGTTTACACAGTGACTATCAAAGACAGTAAAAGGCTTTATGAGCTCAAGGGCAGATGGGGGGACCAGGTAGAAAAAATGGGCATGTGATATCTGTAGGTTACATGTACCTTGCCAAAAGATGTTTTCCCATCCAAGCAGTTCATGCTAAATTGCTGTACGGTAGATACCAGCCACTGACAGTATTTGAGGTCCAGTGAATCAAATTGAAGCATGATTTCTTTGTTCACATGTAACAAGGGATAAATAAGGGCAAAGTACTGCAGAATGACCTTGTCACAGCTCATTTGCGTAGCTTGTCACTCAACTCAAGAGTGGATGACTCAACACAAGAGTGGATGACTTCAACTCAAGAGTGGATGACTAAACACAAGAGTGGATGACTTGTGATGGTCTTTCAGACTCTTGAAGATTTGACAGCCATGTGAAAATCATTTGTAAAACGGATTTTTCAATGACACCATTTGTATTCATTGCAATTTGTTCATGAGATCTGCCTCTCACACTTCAAGAAACAATACCCTTAATTTGATTTTGCACTTCGTTTCTGTTTTTCAAATCCACTTGATTGACAGACATTACCAGTTACGCCCCTTCACCCTTGGACAGTGGCCAAGAAAAGTCATAACATGAAGAAGAACCGATACACCAACATCGTGGCCTGTAAGTGTTGTCATTGTGAGGATGTCTAAAACGATGAATCTTGTAGCACCGGACCAGTGATCCACATTGAAGATTTTGTTTTACTTTCCCAGATGACCACTCCCGCGTCGTCCTGCGATGCCCGGATGACAGTCCTCACTCTGATTACATCAACGCATCTTACATCAATGTAAGTCACCCCTTTGCCCTCTCTGCCCTCGTTTCGACCATCAGAAGCACTTTCAAAGGTTTGATGAATAGGAATACTGCACGTTTGGCCTCATGCTGGTCATTTGGATGTCTCCGTAGCAGACAAATTGGGGAGCCATGTTGGTATTCTGGTACTTTCCTCGCCTGTCACCTTGGCAGCCCTGGTTCAAATCTTGTGAATTGGGTTTTGATTCCCTAGGCAGCTCCATTCCACAACATTCTTCAGAGGTTTTCCTCTCCTCTAGAGCAGTAACTGCTTCTCATTGTCTCCTTTGTACAGTTTTTAGGCTTGATGAGATTAATTAATAAATACCTCAGACAGTCTCCCTATTCAACCACGTACTACATGTACTTTACCGTATATCAACATTTGATAATGCCCGTTGAGAAGTGAAAATGCCCACTGCATAAATCAAGCACTGGCACCTGGGTTACGAGATTCTGATTGGTCAAGAGTCTGTGTGCACACAGCATGCTACGCGTGTGCTAAGGCCATATAAAGAGATTCTTTTGGACAACTTGCACAAGGAATATTCCATAAAATGGACAGAGATGTTCAGGAAAATGAAAGTAAAATTCTGGAACAAAATCGTTTGAAAGCGCCCGCAGCTTGGGCATTACTCACGTCCATTCTCCTGAGCTGTTCCAAGCACATATTTATTCCCTTATTATAGACCGAAATTAGCATGTGAATGAATAAGCCACGTAGCCTTTGTTCAGTATTGTGGAATTCACTCATTTGAAGCCAGTTCAAGATACTCTCATTTTCTTGTTCCACAGGGATACAAGCAGGAAGCACAGTACATAGCCTGCCAAGGTAACTAGGATCTTGCCAACTGTTTTGCCCGTGAAGTTGGCTCGCATGCCATTTTTAGTTTCCGCATCTTTGAAATTTCTGTTTGAAATCGACTTATCGTATTTTGAACACACAAATGCCCCGGTTTGATTCAGGACCAATTTCTCTCTTAGGGCCTACCAAGGCCAGCGTGGTTGACATGTGGCGTATGTTGTGGCAGGAACAGGTCGGAATAATAGTCATGCTGACGAACCTCGTCGAGAACGGAAAGGTATGGAGGAAACAGTTCAATTTGAAGTCATGACCATGTGTTTTTTTTTCTACAATGGCCATCACTACCTAGGGCAAATGATGAGTACTTTGAAATGTTGTAAGCGTAAAGAACCTTTCAGTGAGAGCATTGCTAGTTCCGATCAGGAATACCCGCTGTTTGTACCATAGGAAAGAACAATCCATATGGGTTCACGCAAACTTTCAAATGGTGTCTTTCCTCCTGGAAACACAGTGAATTCTCACTGCAAACTTACAGTGTTCCATAAAGGATTGTTTCAGTGGGCACAGGAGCGTTCTGCCTTTTGATATGCTCCTTAACCTAAGATCACATAGGTACTTCTCTCGGATTTGGGTTTCAGTCTAATCTGTGAGCTTGCACTCACTTCTTGTGGGTAGGGACTTCGGATTTTGGGTTTCGGCCCAACTTGTGAGCTTGTACTCGCGACTGTGAGTAGGAATCCTTATTTTGCTCCACCAATTACAGTCCAGTGTAGGCTATTGCTTGTTACTTGGCTGTAAGAATGTACCATGGGCCCAATGATCGAACGTAGTAATGCTGAAGACATTATCTAAAGGTGTTACTTGAAATGCCTGACATAACAAAATTCTTAAAGTGTGTTCAGTTTCAGTGCTGTGTTTTGCCGTTGAGTCATGGAGAGTCAACATTTTTGACTAAGTTGCTCTATTTATTGTATTTATTGTATGCTCCAGGTGAAATGCGAAAAGTACTGGCCGGATAGTTTACAGAAGTATGCAGACTTTACTGTCACCAACATCTCAGAGGAGGTCTTGACGAATTACGTCGTGAGGACGTTCCACCTGTCTAAGGTCAGCACCTAGACCGTTGACCCCGGATAACCACCTATTGCCAGAATTTGCATGCACAGAGTCACATCTACAAAGGTTCAAGGGCATTTTATTGTGCATAGGTTCGATTGAGGTGCCTTTCAGCAGTTTTTTCACATAGCACTATCCAGGACCCAAGTGTTAATAGTGGAAACCTTGCTGCTTTTGACGTCCTGACGTCCTACGGGTTGGTAATTGCCCTATCTTGTCCTCGCTTGATAAACTGTGGTCAGTGCTTATGAGTGCATTGCAGTGTAATGAGAGAGCCTTGACAGCTATTTAGATTCCTGCCACTGACACTGCATCCGTACTTGCTTCCCTCCACATTGTAAGCTTTTGTGTACCTAGGACAAAATATTGACCCAGACTGAGCCAGGAGGCAGTGGCCCTAGATGAAATTGGAGGCCACAAGCCAAAGATGACAATGAAGCCAAGGTTTCAAAAATTATGCCTTAAAAAGAGTGCCAGTTATCTGGTAACTGTCTGGAAGCTATGACAAACTGGGAGGGGTACTTTCCGCTCTCCACTTTGGTCCTGGGTTCGATTCCCAGCCTGCAGGCCATTATTTGAGTACAGTTGTTTGTTGCTGCTCTCGTGTGATATTTAGGAGTTTTCTTCAGGACCTCCCTTTTTCCTCTTGCAAAAATCTACACTCACGATCCCTGTCTGTGATCCATGGACAGATGGTCGTGATTTGGCCACTGCCTGAGATGCCTGTCTGTGATCCATGGACAGATGGTGGTGACTTGGCCACTGCCTGAGATGCCTGTCTGTGATCCATGGACAGATGGTGGTGATTTGGCCAATGCCTGAGATGCCTGTCTGTGCCTTAGGCTTGTCCACATATAGTTCAGTATGTCAAAGTACAGCGTATTTGATCATAAATTGTGTAAATTTACACTTAATAACAAGTGAATACCTTGTCCCACACAGTACAGTGACCCGGAGGGGGTGTTCCGCGAGTTGAATCACTTCCACTACACCACCTGGCCAGACATGAAGCCACCAGAGTCGTCCTCGCTGCTTCAGTTCGTCCGCAGAGTTCAGGCGGCTGAGACTACCCAGCCCGGTCCTATGGTCGTACACTGCAGGTGATGACAAAGAAGTGGCCTTTGATGGAATGTTTGCATCATTTCGGTCTTGTAAATCAAGAAGAAGTTTAATCACTTCGGTGTAATGTTGTCAACAGTGCATGCCAGTATACTTTGTGGCAAGTTTTATAAAACTGTTAAGGTGAAAAAAATGGCTGATTGGGGCCATTGTTAGGAAACCTCAAGGTCTGACCTGTTGGCAATTTGAGATATTTGTAGTTTTTTATATCCCTCTATTTGGATAAAGCGTACTCTCCAGCCGCTCACTGGCATCCGCTTTGCAACAAGCATTGGCTCAGCACTAAGACTGCCTTGTTTACCTTTTGGTGTGCTTACCAACAGCGCTGGCGTGGGCCGCACTGGAACCTTCATCACCCTGGACTCCATGTTGACCCAGGCACAAGCTGAGGGGCAAGTTGGGGTGTTCAACTTTGTCCATGCCATGAGGGAGCAGCGAATCATGATGGTGCAGACTGTGGTAGGTGTGCCCTCTTTCCTTCTCCCCTGCCGCCGCCATTGTGACCCTTGACCCAGGAGTTCATTCCACAGTAGTGACGCCATTGCCGTCGAGTTCTTTGTAGAGTCCTGTATACTGAAATGTAGAAAGCGATACAGTTCAAGATAGTGAAGCTTGAGAAAGTTGACAGTATGGTGGAGGTCTTGATCTCTTGATTGAAATTGGGAAACCAAGTATATTTTGACAAAAGGGTATTCTGGTTATGTTGAAGTCTGTGAAAGGACTCTTGACCATTTCTTGTGTGCCAAAATTCCTTCTCTTCTGTAAGTGTTGTTTTCAACCCAGCATCTGTACTTCAGTGTGATTGTCAACATACACGTACTGGAGATTAGATGGGAGCACATGCATATGTATACCGGAGTTGTGAAGATGCGAATACGTGTTCCAGAGCTGCAGGGAGTACACATAGAAATTAGAGTTATTGTGGGGGACCAGAAAAGTAAAAAAACGTCGGGGCAAGTCAGGGTGACTCTCACATTGCAGCGTATATTTTCTCCTAGGATAAAAGTCTTTATTAAGCCTTGAAATTATTGAACTAGTTCACTCATGAGAGAACACGTATCTGACGTACTCATTTTACAGGATTTCAACAGATGCTCTTGAATATATCTGGTTGTGTGACCACCATACCCTGCCCTTAGTTATATCGTAGCTATCACAGTGTTAGTTTGTTTTGCAAAAACTGTTTAGGGCCAGGCATTTTAGGTTACTTGTTTAAATTTGTGACCGGTAGTGGACACATATCTCTCTGTGCTTTGATTGCCAGGACCAATACAAGTTCATCTTTGACGCCCTTCTGGAATCTTGTCTGACGGAAAACACGGCCATTCCGGTGGCCAGACTCCAGCAAGACTACGCCAAACTCAAGAAACGAGATCGCAAAACGGGGACCACAGGCATCGAAGAGCAGTTCAAAGTAAAGTGTGGAAGTGCACACTGTCTATGCATTCATTGGCAATTCATTACTTAATTATTTTCAGAATTTCTAATCGTGGTTTAGAAATTGGGGAACTTTGAGAAATTTACACATTTCCATCTTTATTTGGGTAGAAGCCTTTTTTGACCCATATTTCCTGATGAGGACAAAACAACATTGCTGCAAATTTGGCATTATTACAAATCATTAGATACTCCTGTTTATGTGTTTTAAATGCATGGATTTTCTAATTCAGATGTTGGAGACCTTCACAGCAACATACACCGAGGATAAATGTCGCGGAGGCTTAGAATCTGCTAACGTGGCCAAAAATAGATTCCCAAATTTCATTCCAGGTAATTTGACCTTTGATCCACTTATTTTGCTTGAGCATGCTCCAAGACACCAAATGGTTGAGCCTTAATTCATATATGTTACCCGGTACATCGTAATCAGCAATAAATCGCTGTGGCCGGTTTATGTAATGGCCGAGTAAAGTGGGGATGTGGGTAAATGTTGAAAAAATCAATGTGGCGGTTTCTGTATGTTTTGGAAGTTTATGTGTGAAAGGCTACCATCAACACACTTCTAATGTGTATCATTTGAAAGCTTATGAAATTCTCTTTATGGCCATGTACATATCTCAAAAAGTCAATTTGCCACTTATTCCTGATTTCGATGTACTGCGTCACACATGATCTAAATAGGGTATCCAACCTTTCTCAGACGTATCAAATCTGTCAAGACTTGACAGAGGATCTTGAATGGTAATTTAGGGTTAATGCAGCCTTGTTTTGCGATTTTCTGTGTCAGCTGACAAGATTCGTCCTTACCTTATGACCCCTGGGGAGGAGGGCAGCACCAACTACATCAACGCTGTATTTTTGGATGTGAGTTAATCTTGTTCACAGACTGTATCATGGAAATGTGTCCTATTTTGTGACAATGAGTCACAAGGCCATTTTTTGTTATAACTTTGTTTCACTTTGCATTAGAAAGAGCAACTCAAGCCTGTTGTGCTGATATATCTCTCTCACTCTGCCATCCTGATGAATATAGGCATTATGTAGTTTAAAAAAAAAAGGTGGAGGGTTTGTGTTGCTTTAGGCCGTGTCCGAAACGGGCTTCCAGAGCTACGGCTAGGTCTGCGTGTCTCCATTCATTTCCAATCGAGCAAAGACATAGACCTAGCTCTAAACAAGAGATTCAGATGCAGCCTTCCATTTGTGCAAAGACTTTTGTAAAGGCCTTAAACCCAAAAGTGGCTGTGATGTGACTCTTGTGACTCATTTTCAAGATCCTCACTATTCGGTTGTTCATGCTGTGAATGTGTGGCTGCAGTAGGGACTAATTGTAAGGGGTTGGGGTTTCAAAAACGAGGAACACAAATTCTGCCCATTTTCTAGTCCTTCAACTGATCTTTGTGAACTTGGTATGCATGTAGAGACCTCCGTTACAGGTGCGCCTGTGAAGTTTCTGTCTCATTATGGTAACAGGTTTTACGGTGATGGTTGTTTATAGCCAGCAGTGAATAGAGTTGGTCTGTGCATAAGTACTTTTTATTGTATTCAGTCAGTTGGAAATGTTAATTGTCTTTGCCTGTCTGTCTTTTATAAATTAAGTGGATAAATTGTGAGAGATGTACATGTACATCTGGCTTTTGTTTATTAAAGTTGGTAGTAAATTGACCACAAGACATTAGTTCATGACGACTCGTGAAGGCTTGGCACAATAAAAAATCCGGTACGATTGATATTAAGGGGTTGACTTAAATAATGTGAAAGGACAACGTGCTTGTTTTTACAGGGTTACAATAAAAAGAGTGCTTACCTAGCTACCCAGTCTCCATTGCCCAACACGCTGGGTGACATCTGGCGGATGGTGTTTGACTACAACTCATCCTGCATAGTCATGCTGAATTCCGTAGACAGTGACCGGGTACTTGTTCTTTTTTTGTCCATATGCCCAAACCCTGGCAAATGCTTAACAAGGTGGAAAGGTAGATAAAAGTTCAGTGGGAGCTCACTCACAAACTCTGAGACAACAATAGATACAGTGCCATTGAATAGATGCTATTATTGGTTCCTGGAGGAGCTAGCAGGACCTGAGCTCTATGTAGAGAGAGTAGCACCAATTTCAATGGCTGATGGGTCATTCAAAAAAATTTGTGATCCAAAGTGCGACATTTTTCCGTCCCTGTTGCCTCTGGCATGTACACCATCTGACATGTTTGACAAGGGATGTGTCACTGAAATTGATTTCAAACTATTTTTATTTGTTTGGCAGGTAATTTTCCAGTACTTACTCAGTCTTTGAATTTAAACAATGAGCTCTAACTAATGAACAAATCATATGCCAGATGTAACAGGGACGGGAAAAAATTGGACCCCAAATTTATAGAATGACCTTGTTCACTCTGTGGGCATTGTGTGGCAATTGTCCTCATATACTGACACATAGTCCACCATTTTGATTTCAACAATACGTCTGTTTCACAATAGTGCGCCACCAAAAGTTTGCAATGCGTTGGCCAATCACAATGCGCGAAATTTGTCGACTCAATGTGCGTTTGGAAATGGTCGACAAATTTCGTGCGTTATGATTGGCCAGCGTGCTGCAATCTCTTGGTGGTGCACTATTGTGAAACGGCCGTATTGAGACACTCATGACGCTATAAACAGCTCTGGGCAGGAGCCCGGCTAAGGGCATAACCCTATCTTGCGCAGATCCCATAAGTTGACATCAGAATTGCTTCACATTACTTTGTGAGATGTTTTGAGTTTCCATTTTCCTTGTCCCCTTTGAAGTCTTTTATGGTTTTTTTAGAATGTTCCCCAGTACTGGCCAGACGAGGGCAGCCTGCAGTTTGGCCGGCTGACTGTTACATTCAGAAACATTGACCACCAGAGTGACACAGTCATTGTCCGGCAGTTTGGCATCCGCAGCTCAGAGAAAAAGGTTTGCTCTCAAAGCATGCCACTTTGCTCAGCTGAAAAACTTGAGCGTTAAAAACAAGAAGTGCACGCGAAGAACAATAGTATTACTTTATTGTTGTGTGTTAAAAAGGGCATTTGCACATGGCTCTAATTACCATACACTCTAGAAGAAAAATCTTTGCATTTACAGAATTTTTATAATTAAGGGGACACAACTTTGAGCTGGGCTTGACGAATGTCCCAGCTCCAAACTGAGGGGGTGCATAGTTCTGCTAACCAGTCCCACCCAACTTCTCACCTCATAACTCTCCCTCTCTCTCAACCTTGCAGTCGGACAAAGAGCAGAGCATCTGCCACATACAATACCTAGCCTGGCCCTCTGGGAAGGAGGTTCCCAACTCTCCATCCAGTCTCCTCAAGGTGCTGGAGACCGTCAAGATCTGGACGAATGATCATCCAGATGAACCTGTTACGGTCCACTGCATGTAAGCTCGTTTGGTTCAGCTGCTGTTGACATGATGACCATCACGTGCATTTATCATGTGTACAATATTCACCGCTATATTGTTACCTTTGCTCATTGAGCCTGACCATTGGTATCATGGCATGTCAGCCCAGCTGTGCTTACGTGTAATGTCCTTGGGGGTTATTTAGGAAAAGAGAATCAAAATTGTGACATAGTGTCCTGCCCAAGGACACTTGCAGTGCCGTGATTCCACTGGGACACGGCCTGTCCAAGGAAATGGATATATGTAAATTTTCCTTTCCTGTTTCATGCCACAGCGATGGTCTGGGCTGCAGTGGGACCCTCTGCGCTCTGATGACCGTCCTGGAAAGCGTAAGCCAGGAGCAGGTTGTAGATGTCTTCCAAGCGGTCAAGAAGCTCCGGGCGGCCCGAGCGGGCTTAGTTCAGACACTGGTGAGTCTCAGCAGTTGCTGTTATGACAATAACCCACCCCCATCAGCAGTGTGTTCAGACTGCCGTAGATAGCGTTAAACCATGAAAATCTGAAAAGATGCTGATAAGTTGGAGCACTTTGATGTTGTCTCTGGCCTGTGCTAACCCATGGTCAGTTGCATTTCTCTTGTCAAAGAAAATAAGGTTGTCAGAGATTCAGCTGAAATTTGGTTGTGAACTGTGTAGTACTTTAACAGTGCCAAATTCCAACCTTAACCACTTCCTGCCGGGGATTCTGATACCGGACACGTATGCTTTATATGTGTGGCCGGGGTCTCCGAACTTGGACAAAGGGAACTGGGCCTTGTAACAAAAGACCGTACTTGGAACAAAAGACCAGGCTGCGGGGCATTACCGACATTTTTTCACTCTCAAAAGTGGAGATAATCCAGCCTTGTTTTAAAACGGTATACCACGGTTTGAGGCATTTAGAGCGAGCGGATTACCACCGCGGACAAAAGCGCTCCACCACCGCAGCGATGAGCCACACAGCAACGCTGCACGCTAATCTGGCCCCTATTGAAAAGAGGTCAGCAGCGCACTGTGCTAGGTTCATGAACAAAAGAAAGTTACATGACACCGCACAATCTAGGCCCTTTTTTCCAAGGCTGAAGGCCTGGCTGAAATACTTGGGCGCCAATAGATTTTGTCTGTCAGGCTAGAGTGGACACCAGACAGTCCTTCACATGTTTGTAAGTGTCCATTAAATGAAGATAGGAATTTTTAAAAATTTTGAAAACAGAAAAAAATGATAAGTATCCCACCCCAGCATTATCAACATTGATAACTGCCACCGGCAGCAAGTGGTTTATATCATAAAACATATTTGTTCTCTTACCCCCAGTGCTCAGATAAAGTTCTTTAAAGCTTGCTGTGAAAAAAAATAAGCCAAACAAAAGGTACTGGACATGGCTTGTTCACATTGTAGAGTTGAGTTTCAATAGTTATGGATTTAATCCATATACTGTTATTCCTTTGTTTGAAGTGTTGCTTACTGTTGGAGAAGGTATTTAAAAAAAGGCTACGTAAATTTATTTTTAGTTTTTGAGGATATCGTAGATATATAAAGTATCCAGAAACTCTAAAAGACTTAAGCAAGCAAAGCCCCTTTTAACGAAGTGAAAAAGTTTTCAAAACTGCGTTTGTTTTGCATGATGCAGCCAGACAGGTCGATAAACCTTCAGACTGGTTGCATAATTTCCAAATTGGTGTTGCATTTAACAGGAAATTCTCTGCCTTGCCTCCCCTAGGCTCAATACCAGCTGCTGTACCAGTTGACCCAGACTTCCCTAGACTCCAACTCCATCTATGAAAACCTGAGGTAGAATGTGCATCATTTGATGGTTGCTGAGATGGAGACTAAGTAAGGGTCAAACACCGCAACATACACATTGTCCCGTACAAAACAAGGGAGCCGTCTTTATTTAAAGTATTGAAATGTCAAACTCCTTGCATTTGAAGAGCAGAGCAAAATGCAATTGATGTGTCTGTGACAGCTTAGGATTCTAAATGGTCAGACAAAATAGCAGGAGTTCTTCTAGTTTCTGGTTAATTTATCAATTAATCTTCTTCAGAATCTCTTCCTTCATTTAAATAATCTTCAGTAGCTTAGTCAGCCGTTTTGTAAAAAAAATCATTTTATGTAACCAAGGCATATCTTTCACTCTTTGTGGTTCATTTCATTTAATTATCAAACATAGTCACATGTTGGAATTGGATGTCAGTGATATCAGAATCCTCTGTTGAGCAGAGTAATTACCTGACAAAACATGGCAAGTTGGAGGGGTAGTTATTTCTATAGTAAAGATTGCGGTAACACCATGTATTTATCTCTTCTTTGAGTATGTGTGGTTCTGAGAAGAACCGGGGAATAACTCGACGTTTCGAACAGTGTACTCTGTCCGTCTTCAGGAGACACTGAAGACGGACAGAGTGTCTCCTGAAGACGGACAGAGTACACTGTTCGAAACGTCGAGTTATTCCCCAGTTCTTCTCAGAACCACACATACTCAAAGAAGAGATAAATACATGGTGTTACCGCGATCTTTACTATAGATCTAGTTTCTTTCACCATGAAAACCCTTAAGTCTTATAGGGGTAGTTATTTGCTAACAACCCCTCCATTTTGCCTTGTACCCAGCATGTATTTTGTGCATAATCCTCTGTGGATCAGTGGCATTATTCATGGCAGGGTGTTCAAACATCATAAGAGTACATTATAGGAGAGTTGCGGCATCATCACATAAGGTGTGGTACCCTGGCCTCAAAAATTGTGCAGATGATTTGGTGCACAGTTGCCTCCAGTCCTTTTCTCTGGGGCTCACGCTGATTGTTTCTTTCTCAACCCAGGAATGGAATGAGTTTCTATTGAGGGCAAGGGACAGTTACTGATTTTAGCCAGTTTTGTGCCTGAAATGGCAACTTCAAACTTCAGTTTCACCGTCACGGAATCCAACAATTGAGATGGTTCAAAATGCTTTTGTATTGTCTCCACGACCAGGAGTTAATAATGATTTTGGTCAATTTGCATTTCTTCATGCATGCAAATGCCGCTTTTCATTCTTATTTCGAAAATGTTTGCACGTAGCAGCAGCTCTGTGCTTTCAACAGCGTCAAATTGAATCGCCACTGTGCACAACATAACATTGATGTTTCACAGCCAGAAAGCCCACTTAAAGCTTTATTGTTTTCAACTGAAATCCATCTGACCATTCGAGCATGGAAACCGTTAACAAGTTAAAAATGCCATTTTCAGAAGAAATGTATGTGTAAAAAAGAGGTACCATTTTTAAGCATTTGTTAAAATTTTGCTATCAAGTTCATTCCAGTATGTATGCGACACTCACTCAGACCGTGCATGTTCGTTGTTAGCATCAAATTAATAATAATGATTATATTAAGTTGATTGACAAGAAAAATTTCCAAACTAAAGTGTTAATTTTCCCGACGAACAAGCATTCCTTTGTGTGTATACACTCTGTCAGAAAGTGTTAAATAAGAACTACATGTAGTCCGTGATCTCTTTTCTAAGGATAAAGAGTTACGGTAGTGTTACACTTGTCCATTGGTTTGGATGGATTGCTTCTTACAGAACAAGGGTTTAGGTTTCTCTTCTGGAGGAGTTTGATTGGTGCACGTATCCGCAAACGTCCTACTAATAGACGTCGGTCACCAACCACAACTTTGCACGCGCGGACAAAAGTGATGTCTACTTTCATTGGAAAGTTACTGACAGCGTGAGGAGTAACAGCCGAGGGCAGGATTGGGCACAAACTACGGACCATTGGTTTATTTACAGAGTCCGTAAGGGGACAAAATGTTAGTTTGGTTTTGATTTTTTCCCCCTCAAAATATGTTATTCCCCAGAAATATCATTTCGTTCCCTCCGAATGTTATTTCCCTCAAATATTATTCTGTTTACTAGGAGTAATTTTAAGGAAGCTCAAAGTTATCCTCTGTGTTCCCAGCGCGTAGCCAGAGTTTCGTGTGTGTTCCTTTCAAAGTTTGTATTAATATGAAAATTTTGTGTGTTTTTAAAGCCGGTTATATGTACATGTATATGTATGCTCACTTTAGTGTTCATTTGTAGAATACTTTAGTGCCACGTATAGATTCAGTATAACAGACGATATGTTTTTAAATACTGAGCATGCACCGCGTAGAACAACACTTGCATTCCTGTTCCCGCTTTGGCTGGGCGCGGGGGACTAGGTTGCGATTTCTATAAACAGGTTGAACAGTTAAATTTAAGACGTGTAATTGTATACGCAAGCCCATCGATCCCTCGCATAAAACCTGGAACTGAAGCACTAGCGATCGCAAGGGGTCGTTTGGGAGTTCAGGCCCCTCCCCCATGGGCAGGGGAAATACTGGTATGGTAGGGGGAGAGGAAAAGTGGATGGCATATATCGGTCAGGAAACTATTCTACATGTTTGGAAGAAATAAAGCAACATTTTTGAGTGGTTTTGTTCCCGTGGCTTCTTCAATTCGGCAATGTGGTGTATGCTTCAATTACGAGGCAAAATGAATATTTTGCTGCTCTCTGTGTTTGGATGGATGACATCTGTGGATATATTGAAAAAGGTCGCTCCTTACACATGTCTTTTCTGCGCCTGAATTTTAATGGTTCGACTTCTGCCCACCTTGACTCTATGTTTCCAATTGCAAGGATGGATTCAAGGCGCAGTCAAGGTAATTTGTGCAAAATAACACCATTCGCCTTTGGCGCGCTTACTTAATGTATTTCAGCGGTGCATTGTTGGGATGGTCGCCATCGTTCTAAACCGTTGCGGCCACTCATAATGCAGTACAAAAGGACTCTACACTAAACAAACGAAAGTCTTTAAAGTTATCTTGCTGATTTATGGTTTTTGGTCCTTGGTTTCGACAAATGTAACGGATAAAAATAATTCCACCCTGTAAATGAATCCTTTGACCTGACGCCATAAACGTTTGTTAACAATACATCTTAGAGTCATAATGCACGCCTGACCGTTATAAGCGTGTTATTATATCAGAGATCAGTGGTTAGTCTATGTATGTAATGCAGTTTTCATGCAGCCTTTCTGCACCATGGTGTCCCAATTAACCTTGTTTGTAATTTGGTTTTCCTATTGGAAAGGGCATTTTGAGGCTCCTTTGAGGATTTGTTTAAATCCTGAGGCAAAATACTGCAGGTGAGTCAATGCGTTAAGTAATTAAAAGCTTTTCGTTAATTCTAATTGAGGAACTGACATGAAAGGTTCCATATGATATCTTACATAAAATATATAATATAGTCGATGAGAGAATCATAGAGTCTCTCATGCCTTGTGTCATTATTTTTGCAGTATGTAACAAATAACTCTCTAGGTTTTTGCATGCTTTGCAATATTAACCAGAAACATGAAAACTCTGAATATAGCTCGTTACAGTTCATTGCATTTGTGAAATGTGTCGACTTAAACATTTTATCTGGACCGGTTTACTAAATCAACATTTACAAAAGAGAAACACAAAGGCCAAAATATCATGAACCAAACAGATATAATGCGAATTTTGACCTGAACCAGTCAGTCTGAAACCAAATTATCGAATCCCCCAAACGTGAAGGATTAAATTGTAACTGGTCCCCTCGTTCTTCACATTAGTTGGTTACACAGACCAGTATTTCTAAGAACTTATATTAAGCACAGGAAAGAAGCCCTGCACTCGAGTGCGAGTTTTGCATCGTAATGTAAATAATTGACACATAAATTACCGTATTGATCGCTAATCACAGAGCCAATTAGTCAATTTTTATGATTGTCCATTTTGAATCTTAAAAGAATCGGTAATTCACACTCATTGTAATTTCTTCAGTAACTTTGCTGTGTTGCCGATAATAGTTGTAATGTAGGCGAAGCGACGGTGAAGGTGCTTGTAGGTGAGGCGCCTTTGTGAAGGTGCTTGTAGGTGAAGCGCCTTTGTGAACGGGCTGGCTTTGTGAATGAAGAAGTATGGTCCTGTCTCAACTGTGTCTGTCCCCTCGTTATTGTCCCCGTTCGTAGATGCTGTTATGCTGCTGGTAGGCAGTAAACCTCCGCGAAAACAGATCGGTGTCACCGGCCTTCTAAGGCTAGACCGCTCGCCGGCGTGACCACTGGACAGATGATGAGCTTTTTAATTGGTAAACTACATGACAATACGGATGATTCACAAGAGTGCTCCTTCAAGAGTTTGCCACGCATTGGCCAATCATAACGTCCAAAATCTGTCTAACCTTTCCAACGCACATTGGGTTGACAAATTTCGGGCTTTGTGATTGGCCAACGCGTTGCGAACTCTTGGAGGCGCTATTGTGAATCGCCCGCATTGTCAAACTAAATAACCTCGGCCTATTAACACTCTAATTCGGATGAAAATACATGTTCGATTTCTGTCAATATTGCGCGATGCCTGGTGCATCATTAGCAAAATTTGAGATTTCACCAGCTGCTTGTTCGCCGTTCAATTGAATAGCACGTGATCTAACTTTGGAATTAATTCTCTCGTAGACTTGTGAGGTTTCAGCAGAGAAAATTTAGGAGCATCTTCATTTCTTCTCGTACCACGCTACGCACAGGATGTAGTCGATAACCCGACCTGTGAGTAAGAGTCATGTCCCAGGCATCGATAATAGTCACATTCGGCATACCACTGAATATTGTTCGCATGACCTGATCAAGCTCGTGGACGTAGGCGTCGGCCAGGAATAATCCCTTCGACCCGTCGGCTCTGGTGTTGGCCGACTTGAAGAAAACTGGGCTAGGACTGGGTCCGCGCCGCTGCAGTCGCCGCACGGCCGCTTGGATGTGCCCCATCCTCGAAGCAAAGTAATTCACGCTGTTCGTGGTGAAGTGTGCCCAGAAGTTCAACACCACTACCGTGCTGGGCCCTCCTGGCAGCGCATCTAGCTCGTTCACCGTGAACTTGACGTCGTGGAAGTTGAGCCAGTTGTTGCGGATGGGGAAGTCGTGATGGCGAAACGTCAGCGTGATGTTATGCACCGTGTCGACGCCGTACAGCGGGCCGATAACCTTAGCTGATTTACCCGCCCGCTGTAGTTTCATGGTGGGACCCAGATTGCCAACTAAAAATTCCAGCCACTGCCTGAGCGTGGAGTCACCGTAAAAGTACAGACTCTTGTTCCGGAGACACATAAGGATCTGCGGGATCTTGAACGACTTCTCTCGGCACACTCTAGACCTCCAAGAGTCTCTGTAATAATAGCCAGCGGCTAGTGATGGGGGTTTAGGAGGCAGTCCTGGTTTGCATTCAGGTAAGCTTTGGCACGGCTCGTTCGTGATTCCTGGGGCTGAAAATAGAAAGATGATCCAAATAGTTTGGGTTGTTTAAAGAGGAGGAATGGATGGACTCGTGCACACATAGGCCTACAGGCGTCAAGTTAGGCTGCCCAGAGTAGTATAGTTAAACTATATGTGTCCTTACTTTATGGTAAAACTATATGTGTCCTTACTTTACGGTAAAACTAAAGCTTTCCGAGTTTATACATGAAGAATTCTAGATCTTTTTCGAGGAGAAACCGAGGGGAAACCGAGGGAGGCTAGTTTTATAAGATATCGAGGTAAAGCAGTCACTGTTTTAAAACATCTCTCCCACCGATTCTGCTTGATTTTAACGATTATCTGATTAGTACATTTAAGCCCAGTTCTCCAGTGCTAGTCATACTATAACGTGCACAGGCGCAGAGACTATCGTTTATTTTAACACTTAACTCACAGATTCAGATTGTGTCGAGCCACTCACGTGGCATTTCGTTAGTGTCTTCTTGGTCCAAAGTTCCATATACCGGCAGCAACCAAAGAACTGTACGCCCAGCAACGGGTATTCCGTGTATATGTATGGGGGATGTGCATGTTACACATACGTGCTTCCGCTACAGAGCTGGGTTCAAACATTTCGTGAAGAGGTTTGAAGTAATGGCGGTGAATTGTCAATAAGTGTTATTTTCAAAAGTACATTTTAATCAGTAGTTATCGATTAAATCAAGCCACATCCGTAGGGGAAAAAGTATACAAAATATTGACAGCTCTACCTTATGGTGTCATTAAAACCAGCCTCCACCTGTGATCTATCCATGAAGCATTCTGCTCTCCCTTAGGAAAGTAGAATGATCCACGGATCACAAAGCTTTACAAAGCTAGCTTTACTGCTCCATTCAAATGATCAATATTTTGTTTGCCACTCCTTGCCCATTGTGTCTTCTGTGGGTTACGACTGTTAGGGGGCGGGAGACCGTGACGAAAATGACTTCACCAAGTTGCTCCCCCTTTGATTCTCGATCTCCAAATCCTTTTCAGTCGGATAATTCCTGCCACGACCTCGGCGATCTTGCTCCAGAATTCCCTGCCGGACTGTTCTGACTGGGCCCATAATCTACAGATCACACGGGGAAATTGGAACGAAGAAAAAGAAATCAGGAAACATACCTCGAGGAACCACAGATACTGCTCTGACGGGACCAGCGTTGGACAGATAGGCGAAATCCTTAATGCCCCTGTAACGATCAGTGAAATGAACACTCGTGTAAAGTTTGTATAACCCAGTATATGCTACTGGAAAATGAACCTTCGATGGGTTAGGAAAAACGAGGTTTGCAATAAATTGTTAATATGATTGGTTAGCAGAAACCAGTGAAAGTAGAAACTTGAACTTAATATTTAAAAAGGTCCTTAGTGTTATTACGGTCTTAAACAAATGGCAATAACCAAATGAAATGCACTAGCGTTTCTTGATGTAAAGTAAAATTCTTTGATTAGTGTACTATTATATTCGGAATAGAAAAGGGTTCATGATGTGAATTTTACAATTGAATGTTTTGTGCAACTTTTAAATGAAACAAGGCTTTTTGATATTTTTTTGGTTACAGTAATTTAAAAGTGCTCTTAAAAAGAATAGGTCACA